CCATCTAAGAAAGGAAGAGTAGGGGTGGAAGGGGGGATTCTTCTAAACGAAGATGAGTGTCATCTGGAACTAGTGGCTTAGGAATCGTCTGATTGGTGAATTATAAACTGAATAATGCAGTGGCAGATGCAGCAATCATAAGCACGTGGTCCCCTCAAAATTATTTTATAAATAAACTTTACAAAGTTTTCTGTTTAACCGTTTGTACTGTTTTTTCTGAAAGAAAGCTGTGTTTTTGAAACTAATGAAGACAGCAGGAGTCAATGATTCATTTGAATTATCTAGCCTGACATGTTTACTGCTCCAAAATATTTTAAATGTTGTAAATGCTTATTTTAGAGTAGTAATCACAATACTGTGATACCGTGAAACAGTCATATTTTTATCCAAAGTTATCACACTATCAGAAACTTATACCGGCCCATGCCTAATCTAGAGAACTGATAATAACATTGAAACAGTCTCTTATTCTGTCTGTAAGCTGTAGGTATATAGTCTTTATAGTTGTCAACATTTGAAGTGGATCAAAAATGTTCAAAATTGTCCCAAGACAAGAATGGGTGTTGTTCAATAATTTCAGAACAACTTTAATTGGTCTAAAGCAGGAGTGCCCAAACTTATTATTATGAAGGGTCAAAAACCATACTTGTTTGAGGCCGAATGTAAATATAGTTGCCATGGGTAAATTTCTAATTTATTTATTTCATTCATTCCTCTTCTTTTTAGCTTATTCCCTTTATTAATCTGGAGTCGCCACAGTGGAATGAACCACCAACTTATCCAGCACATGTTTTACGCAGTGGATACCCTTCCAGCTGCAACTCATCACTGGGAGACATCCATACACACTCATTCAATTCACCTGTACTACATTTGTTTGGACTGTGGGGGAAACCGGAGCACAAGGAGGAAACCCACCACAACACGGGGAGAACATGCAAACTTAACATAGAAATGCCAAATTACCCAGCCAAGGTTCAAACCAACTACCTTTCTGCTGTGAGAACAGTAATAATACAATAATACCAATACAGTATTTATTTATTTTTTTACATTTTATTATGAACTTATTACAAAACAACTTATTAAAAGCAAAACAATCTCATTTATAACTTGGCATGGGCCGATAACTTGTTTTCAAGATACATTTACATTTAGTCATTTAGCAGACGCAAGAGGACAAGGAAGCAATTTACACAACTAAGAGCAACAATGAATAAGTGCTATAGGCAAGTTTCAGGTCTGTAAAGTCTAAGAAGGGAAGTATTAGTAGTATTAGTTTTTTTTTTTTTTTTGGTACAGTTAGTGTGATATTCAGAGAGCAATTGCAGATTAGGAAGTGAAGTGGAGACTAAATAGTTGAGTTTTTAGTCGTTTCTTGAAAATAGCGAGTGACCTATTTTATATACCGTGCTAAGATATACCGCTGTTTGGAAAAGTGAAGGTTTTAAAACCGCCCAACTTTTCTACTATACTGTTTCTAAGGTTTGTGTAAGATTTAAAATTTTTTTTTTTTTTTTTCAGTTTTTAGGACAGCAGTATCTCCAGCAGAAAAGATGCTGTTTTAAAATGTAAAGAAATCTGTGTTTTTGAAACTAATGAAGACAGCAGAAGTCAATGATTCATTTGAATTATTTAGCCTGACATGTTTACTGCTCCAAAATATTTTGAATATTTCTCAAAATAAAAAAAGTTTTAGTGTTTACCCAGACATTTACAAATAATATATTTTAGAGCAATAATCACAATACCGTCAAACCGTGATATTTTTATACAAGGTTATCATACTGTCAGAATCTGATACCACCCCATGCTTAATTATAACAGAATTACACTAGTTTTTGACTTGATTTGCTCGCCAGTGTCTTCTGCATACACCTCTATCTGTTGAATGACAGTATTTTTATTTTTAAAGATCTGATTCATTCACAACATTTAATTGAAACATTTAATTTCAGTTTCAGCAATAAAACTAACAAATTAAAGCTACAAGCAGCGATTAAAGGGACCTTTTACTAACTGAAAATGTTAAGTCAAATTAGAAAAGATGATCTCTGTGTTAAAGGCATTCACCCCAACCCTCTCCATCATTTTTACTCTCCTCTCAGTTGGGATGGTGCTGGGCCAAATCAAAGGTTACAATGGGCCAACTTTGGCCAGCGGGCCCTTCTTTGGGCATCTCTGGTGTAAAGGCTTTGAGCCACTCAAATGTTGACTACTGTATAAAATTTTCACATGATATGTTGAAAAATCATAGGCATCACGTGGGTTTCACATGGTTACATTTACACGTCTCTGCTCATGTAAGGTTTGTTAGGGATGTGGTTTTACTGTGAGGGCTACTCTTAAAACCTCCCCTTTTTTTGGCACAGTCTATGTGTAAAACATATCAAATTATACTTAAGACAATTTGGCAATTCTGTTTTTACAGTGTGCAAGCTAAAAATGAATATTCAAAACATCCTAAATATGTGCAGGATATGTCTACAGATGGCTTGTGGTGAGCACTGGTGTGAAGATGTGAATCTCTGATTCAGCTCTTAAAACGTGTTTCTCGCTTCTCCTGTTAGATACAAGTTTACACCTCGTTAGAGACATTTCCAAAACACCCTCAGTCAGTTTCAGAACAACACCAGCTACTGGCTTTAGAAAAAACATCACTTATATAAAGCATATTTACACTATAAGTTATACCAGCAACCAGAGATAGGCCTACGACACGTGAAAAAAAGCATACACTTGCTCCAGTAGCATAGTCATAAATGTCTTCAGTGTTGAAAATCATTTTAACACTATGAAATGCCTAAAATGAATGAACTAAACTTGAGATGATAAAGTATCATCATGTAGAAACAAAACCAAGTACCTCACACATTGTTTACAAACTGACGTCGTTTAAATGATGCTGCTGCTCTCTGCTGCCCTCTGGTGGATCAATATCGACGTCTTTCGAGAAAAGTCGTTGCAGTGTTATTTTTATTGTTAGAAAGACTACGATTACCCACATGTATTACAGCAGAGCCGTAGCCAGGGGGGTTCGTGTGGTTCGAAAAACCCACCTCCACTGATAGAAAGTATAGTATGGTCCCAAACAAAAGCTCATTTGTCTTATTTCGACTGCTATGCCATTGTAATGTGTGAAAATAACCCATGAAAGAAGGCTTCCAATGAATCCAAGCACTTAGTTTTCAAGAGTCCAGCTGTGCAAGAAAACACAACATGACGAAAGTGAAGTCATCTTTCACTACAAGTAGGCATCTTTAATCTGAATCTTAGACATTATTCTTAATATATATATATATATATATATATATATATATATATATATATATATATATATATATATATATATATATATATATATATACACACACATCAAAAAGTTTTAAAGCACTTAAAGCAGCCCATGTTAAAGTGAATTTTAATACTATTTAGGTAAATTTTGTTACTCATGAACCTTCAAAAAGTTAAGCTCTACATTATTAATATTATTGTTTTATTTTTTTATCATTCAGAAGGCCAAATTCTGAAAAGAAAGTTGAATGTGCGGGCCAGTTTGTTGTTTTCCTAGTAAATGACAATAGGCTACTTTAAAACTTAAACTCCTTTTCTTTTAATAATACATTATTTAAAAAAATTGTATTTAAAATAAGTAATTTTTATATTTCTTCATTCTATATATTAAGCAAATGTATTTGGTACCTCAAAAAGTGTGATTATGATAAACATCCAGCAATTAAATCCAGCTAAAAATAGTGTCACGTAAATACAGAATTTAAATCTCATTATTAAATTTAAAATAGGACGAATAGTTGCAACAAGCAAATATCACAAGCTGATATTTGCAACCCAAATATGACCTGACAGCAAAGTCCCATGAGCCTCGGCTTCTTTTGTTTAGCAGAAAACACACCTGCTGAGTGTTACTCAACCTCTGGCCTTAGAAATTTATACATATCTGCTTATGTATCTTGCGACACATTAGCAAATTGTCACATCTAGCTTTCCCACTTTTTAAATAATGTAGTCTGAATTTAGAGAATCTAGACAATTATTTTTTACTATTAATTGTTCAAACTTATACTCAGACCATTTTTAGATGGTCAAAGAGAAACTAATACAACAAGATACCAACATATTTGGTCCCCCGACTAGCTTAAGGCCCCTGTAACTCAATATAAATGCGTGGCATAATCAATCCAGTAACGCTTAACTCTGAACTTTGCTTGTCTTTGCTGAGACATCATTTGAAACAATCTTTCCATAATTTAACATCTATCAAGGGTGACAAGGTGCAGGCCCGTGCAGAGACCGGCATGTACAGTATAAATGATGTTTAAAAAGGATGTTTTGTAGTTCGGGGGGGGGGGGGGGTGGATTTGCGCTGCAGATCTGCAGAGTGGATGCGCGCGTACTGAAGAACGGTGTTATCGCGCGCATACTGATCAGCTGTGTTGTCGCGCGCGTACTCAAGAGCGGTGTCGTCGCGCGCCTACTGAAGGGCGGGACCGATCACTTTTGATCATTTTGGAAGGGCACTTTCTATCCAAGACTAAAAAGGGCATGTGCACTGCACAGGTTGAGCCCTATGTGTGCACGTGCCTGACAAGGTGGCTCAGTGGTTAGCACGGTCACTCACAGCAAGAAGGTTGCTGGTTTGAGTATCAGCTGGTTCAGTTGGTATTTCTGTGCAGAGTTTGGATGTTCTCCCCATGTTTGCGTGGGTTTCCCCCACAGTCAGGTATAGGTGAATTGAATAAACTAAATTTGCTATAGTGCATGTGTGTGAACGAGAGTGCATGGGTGCTTACCAGTACTGGGTTGCAGCTGGAAGGGCATCAGCTGTGTAAAGCATATGCTGGATAAGTTGGCGATTGATTCCACAGAGGTGACCCCTGATGAATAAAGGGACTAAGCTGAAGGAAAATTAATGAATGAACATCCAACATGCCATTACTTTACAACATGACTTTTGTTTTGTTTTGAAGAAACACAAAGACTTCAATATCAATAAACTTTTAATAAATAGTTTCTCAATTAGTTCCTAATATTTACAGCCGGTTCACCATTCACATATACGGTTTCTATTCTTTTAGAGCACATTTTAGGCACAAATTAATTGGCTTTTTTCAGAGGCAAACACCAGATTTCTTTGCAAGTTAGTGGCTAGTGGAGAGGAGTGAATCTGCAGGTACAAAACATTGAAGAGAACGAAAGATAGAAAGATAGAAAGATATTCAACAGAAAAAAATCCATTCAAGTTTGGTCATACAGATGAATGCAAAAACATGAAAAAAATCCTTCACTCCATTTTAAGTAAGATTTTCAAAGAACGGAAATGGTCCGAAATGTTAGCTTAAAACCAATTCACAATGACTAAGCCTGTGAAACATCTTGTAAATTTGTCCTGAAAACAGTAATAAAAAAAAAGTATACAAATAGCAGGAACTGAAATACAGAAATGAATAAAAACACACACACAGACAGACAGACAGACAGACAGACACAGACAGAAATAAAGTCATAGGTATGGCACCTAAAACCAAATAAACAGATTGGTTTAAAAAAACAAAAAAACAAAAGCGATCTGAATGCACTTGAGGTTTTTTCTGGAAAATTAAGTTTTCATTTTGAGAGATCTGATAAAAGTACTCAAAGTTTGTCTCACCAGAAAGAAAGAAAAAAGCACCGCAAATAGAAATCGGCCACAGAATCAGGGGAGGTCTAAAATAACAACGACGTGCCGGAAAAAGCTCAGCTCTAATAGAAATACCACGTTGAGAGTCTAGCATAATACCACAGAACTTTGTAACCTTGTACATCCTACAATATAGCAGCATGTGTGATATTAATCGACTGGATCTAGCGGAGCTCATCCAATCACCGTTCCGCCTACGTCAGTGCTCGCGGTAAATATGACAACTAATGCGCACCGTCAGTAAACTCGTAATCCTGCAAGCCTGTCATATGGTGGCAGTATTGACGTTCACAGGGAGCTCCGACTGCGATGAAAGCAAACCAAATATGCGCAGGCTCTTAAAAAGAGCGATACGATTGACCCTTCTCAGAGCGACGTCGTCATCTGGGTTTGGTGATTGCGATAAAAAGTCCCTTAAAGGCAACTTTATCTCCCCCTGTACGCATTTTGACACAATGTAAATGTAGAGAAGGTACAAGTGATTTGATCAAAAACATGACAGATCTGCGTGAATTGATGCAGATGACCTTCTTTCTTGTCTTTTCTTGATTGCTTTTCCTCAAAACAACAAAACAAAAGGGACACGTTCTTCTCCAGAAGTGCCTTTCGATCAGTTAAGTACAAAACCAAGAGGAACCAGTAAGAAAGCAGCACATCAAAAGTTAGCCTGTGACGTCACGACAGACATGTTCCCTATTATTACAGTTACCAGGTCTTTGGGACAAGGAACATTTACATTGTTGAAAATCTGAAAGGGAGAAAAAACAAAACTATGTAACAGTAAAAATGAGGAAAACCTTCACCAAGTCCGTCATCACAAGGGCGTCTGCTTGAATTCTCCTCACTTGTGCAAGACAAGATGTCCTTCGCTCCTCTTCCTGTTCCTCAGGGCCAAGGTTCAGCTCCCGGTTGGCCCAGTTCCGCACTTGTAAAGTGTGCTTTGGCTCCTGCTGCTCATGTTATTGAGCTGCGGGGGGAACAGGACAGGGTGTGTAAGAAGGTGTGAGGGGTTTGGGGTGGGTGCCCGTCCCCCCTCATCAGTGTGGTTATACGCTGCTGTCCTCCAGTAGAGGCTCCTTGCCCTCGCATTGTCCGCCTTGAGAGCTGTGTGAGTGGCTCTGTGCGCCGTTGTTGTGCTTCTTGTAGCTGCCAGGCCGCAGGTTGAGGCCGTTGTGCTCTGGGATGAAAAGGGCCACCAGCAGAGACAGCAGCACCGAACAGGCCCCGAACAGGAATGGAGGGCCGGGGATGATGGCACTCTGAGGAGCAGACACTGAGATGTTTGTATATGTGGTGTGAAAGGGCAAAAGATGCACAATGGACCCTTTTCACATTTCTGGGTTTCTCATTAGTGGAAGTCATCATAGTTAGGTAAACTTAGAGCACAGTGAATGGGAGAGTAGAACAAATAGTATTTTTTTTTCATAATCCTATTTGGTGTAATAATAATAATAAAAACAGTAATAAAACTCCACGAGTTTTCAAGACTTAGACAGAGAAAAAAGAAAAATAAAATAGTGTGAGACGGCAGCCAGAAGAGTGAACATTAAATTTACTGTCCCGCCTATTGACACTGCATTTAAAACGCCTCATACAAGCAAGTAATTCGTTTTTTGCAGTTTGATGCATCGATTATAAAATACATATATAAATGCATATAAATGTGCATAGGTTTAAAAAAATAAAACCTAAATATTAAAAACTTAAGGATTTAAATGTTGATGTCTCATAATGACTTGATGACTATATCGTAACAGTCTTGTGAAAAGGGTCAATATTGGATTTTAAACAAATTTTCACCGATAAGTGATGCTGCGTCCGAATTCGCCTACTACTCGTGTAGGTACTACATTTGAATTCACTACACAACTGTTAGAAAAGTACATTCTATATAGTATGAATGAAAGTAAAATGAATGTACTGCATCTGCCATTCATCATTATCATGTGACCTACCCTGTAAGTTCAGTCATTTCACTCCCATTCATGAATTCGCTCACGTGGCATCATGGGATCACGTAGCCTCCATCGAATGCACGCTAAAGAAACTCACCAGTAGTAGCAGGGTACTTCTCGCCTACACCTTTTCGAATATTGTGAACATACTACTCTGTCCACATATTGTTTTTAACATACTATATGGTATAGAAGATTGGGATATTCTGTATATGGTATGGAAGCACCGCGTGTATTTCTTTTGTTTCTGTTTCGGGGAAAGTGATACTTTGCCCTAGCAAGCAAACAAACGAACAAGCGAATGTACAAACATACAAACGAGCGAACGAATGAGCAAACCTTTATATTTATTTTTTTATAATCAGTAATTGTTGACACAAACATGAAGGTCTGAAAGTAAAGGGACAGTTTAACCAAAAATGAAAATTTCGTCATCATTTACTAACCCTTTAATTGTTTCAAACCGGTTGACTTTTCTGTGGTTGAAAAAACTTTTTGTTTTTTGAAGAAAGCTGGAAACCGGCAAACTTTCTTTTCCATAGTATATATTTTTTTGTATTTTAAATCCATTGTTTTATATAGTGGGCATTGGGACTTGAAGAGGCTGCTGCTCATGCTAGACTAGTGACTGTCAGTAAACACAGCTAAATAACTCCATTAACATGAACTTCAATCACAATACAGGCAAATATTCATTAATATACAAAGAATGATCTGTTGACCTGATCTTATTTTTAGCACTCCTAACTGCATGACATTCCTCACCTCATCTGTGGGATTGGCCATGTTGGGTTTGACACCCTTTTCTGGACTCTCTGCAGGGTCCATTTCACTGAGCTCCACGTGAAACAGGTAGAAGACGAAGCCATAGAGCGCTGGACCGAGACCATTGCACAGTCCTCTGATTCCTGTGATCATCCCCTGAACCACACCTGACCCAGACACAGAGACATATGCTTTTTTGCCATCATATATTGACAAGGGTAAACATTACTACTTAATATTATCATTTATTAATAACCATCATTTAAAAGTTTTTTTGGGGTAAAAACTTTTATTCAGAAAGGATTCTTTAAACGGATTAAAAATGACAGCAAATAATTGTTACAAAAAGTTTTGTTTTTTTACATCCATTTAAGATCTATTTAATTTTTTATTAGAACAACTGTAATTGCAAAAAATTATAAAACAGAATCACAAGCACAGCTCTTTTCAATATGCATCACGATATATTTTTAAACATTATTAAAACATATACAAATACACAGATTTTTAAAAATTATTTCCCAACATTTATATTTTGCTGTATTGCTGGTAATAAACATTCAAAAACATCTTACAGGCGTGAAACTGGACAGTAGTGTATGCATTTAAAATTATTTTAATGTAATATATATTAGCAGATAATCATTTCTGATTGCTTAGAAACAGCCGATGATCAATGAGGATTACATCCTGTCAATCAAAAGAGGGTAATAAGGCACTATATTCATGTGTGTGTAAAAGCGGTGTCTCTTGTGTAAAATAACTCCGAATTGGGCAACATTGGTAACAACAGCTGTTTAGAAGCTTAACAAATATTGTGAAGTTAAAACTGCTAAATCTCAACACAACTGATCTGACTTTGCACCTTAAGTGTCAAGGACATTTAGGGGTTTGTAAAAGCAATAAACGTTCAGTAGTTGTAATATAAATCAACTTTCTAAAATGGAATCAAGCTTTTATTTGCAAACATTTCAAAATTCCTGTATTCATTTATAAACGGTACAAAAGGCAGAAGCAGCAAAACGATCGGCATTGCCAGATGTCACAAGATAATCTACTACCATGTCTGCTGAGAAATTTAATATCAGTTCATCAATAATTATATGCAACTATAATTAATACAAACTGATAATAATTAATTAATGTTCATAAATATTCTACTATAAGCCAGAACATGAAAATAATGAATCTACTCAGAATTAAATCAATTAATTAATTCTTAATCAGTGACTATCAGAATTCAGAGCACTGCACCACTAATAACAATAATAATAATAATAATTATTATTACTATTATCATGGCATGGCATGAACTTTTTTTAATCCCCTGCCACTGTGGCTAGTAGTTTTCCAACATTACTAGGCATCACCATTATCAATAGCAACAATGTTGTTGTTTGGAATATATATTTATATGCATAAATATGACTTTGACATGATAAAATTACTTGATTTAGATTGTGTTTTCAACATGCCTCCTCAATTCACTTTTTGTGTGTTGTGTATGAGCTTGCTCAATAAGCATGAGCAAATGGGTCATAGATTCATAGTGCTGTATTACAATTAGTATTTATTTCGCTTGACTTTTCAGAGCTCAAAATAAAGGATTTACCAAATTTATCTCTGACCACACCAAACATAAATAATTATTTCTTAGCCACAAATTTTAAATGTGTCAAAATAAGCAAAATATAGCTGTATATTACGCTTTTTATGTGACAAAACATTTCTTAAAAAAACAATTGACATTTAAAAAATAATTATTGTCATGTATCTACAACATGCACAGGAATCTGTTCTGGATAAAGGTGCACAAGAATCAATTTTTGTCCAGTCTATTTCAAAGTAAACCGATCATACCAGTTGTGTTTTCAGGCACGGTTCATTTGCACAAGTAAACGGGAGCAGGCATGCTTTTTAACATCACATCACCTCTGCACTCGAGTGATAATACTCATTTGGTACTCATCTTCTTTCTTTTGCTCGCGCAAACAATTATTTGTGTTAATCGTGCTGCTTCTCGATTTTAAGATGGCATTTTGGCATATTGGGCCATATTTATTATTGAACCCTGCTTTTATAATATAAAAAGTTATTTTCAACCAGCCAAAGTGGCTATTAGAGGTGGCTGTCTAACCCACCACTGCTGAAATCTAACCGCATTTGGCAAGCTGGTGGTTGTTAATATCAAGCCCTGATTATTATTATTATTATTATTACTACTGAACAGCTTATGAAGGTCAGCCTGTCATTGTTCTGTTAATAATGACTATTTGACTTTACAATATCCTGCTTACATAATGGCTATCAAATCTAAAAAAATAGATAGATATTAAAATCAAAGTCAAACGGGTATTTTTTATATGCAAGAAGACAACTGATTAATACATTGGATATTAAATGCTTTGTTGCAATGAATCAAAATATTCGAGGACTTTTTGTAGGAACATAATCAGACGGGAGTTTTGTTTGTTGCCAATGTTACTGTAGTGTGACTTTGTGTGTGTGTGTGTATGTGTGTGTGTCTTACCTTGCTGATCAGGGTCTGCGTTGCGGGACACAATGGCACTGATTGCTGGGAAGGTGATGCTGGACATGGCAGCAACGGCACCAGCAGCCCACATCATCCTTAAATACACAATTTTCACCACAGCTTTAACTGTATTCTGCAGTTTTGACTTCCTATGGCTTTACAAACAATCTGCTTCAGTTTACGTGGATGTGTAACTGGTTTCAAGAACATGTGCTGATCCAAAACACACAAACCGCAGAGGTCATGTTTACTTGTCTGTTTGAAATCCAGCCAAGAGACACAGACAGATAACTTGATGCATGTAATGCCATGACAAAACAGGTCATGTAAGCAGGACAAACTATCATTAATCAATGTTTCAGGAAAATATAAAGCTGTAAAACGTCTTATTCAAGCACTTTAAGACGAAACACAACAGTCAAATTAGTTTCTTATCAACAAACCAGTAACACAATAACACAAAATTTTGTTCATTCTGAAGTCTTTTTTATGTGCTAGAAAATTTTCAGTTAAATTAGGTAATTTCTCATGCCCATTTGCTGATCTCACTTCTGGCCTCCCTCAAGGCTCAGTCGTATTATATTTTTTCATTATATATGCTTCTGCTAGGGGCCATTCTAGGAACTCATGAGGTGTCTTTCCATTTTTATGCTGATGACACCCGGATTTACTTGCCTATAAAGAGAAATTACCCTCTCGCTCTTAGTACCTTACCAAGATGCATAGATGAGATTAGAATTTGGCTATCCCACAATTATTTAACATTAAATGATGATAAAACAGAGATGATTGTCTTCAGCCCTAATGATAACATTCAGGCCACATGCCTAGATCTGGGCTGCTTATCTACCTTCAGATCCCCCCCGTGCGCGAAATCTTGGTGTAATTCTTGAGGAGTCATTAAAACTAAACAAACAGATCAGTTCGGTTATTGGCTCCAGTTTTTATCAACTCCGCTTGCTGTCTAAAGTCAAACATTTCTTAAATCCCACCACACTAGAGACTGCTGTCCACGCTTTTATTACATCACAGTTAGACTACTGCAACGCACCTTACTGTGGCTTTTCAAAATCTCACATTTCTCACTCTCAGTTGGTCCAAAATGCTGCTCCCAGATTTATTCGTAATAGCAGGAAATAGGACCACATTACTCCTCATCTAAGGGGCCTCCTTTGGCTGCCCATCCAAATCAGAATTGATTTTGAAGAGCTTTTACTGGTACATAAATCCCCATTTACTGGTATATAATCTAGCCCTAACCCAACTCTCAGAGCTGTTGCACTTTTACACTCCTGTAAGATCTCTTAGATTAAATGATCAAAATCTTCTCAGTTCCTCAGTCCAGACTGAAATGTAGAGGGGACAGAGCTTTCTCTGTGGCGGGTTCTCAGTTATGGAACACCTTGCCCCTTGAAATTAAATGGCTACATCTCTATTTATTTTTAAATCTCTCCTAAAAACTTACCCATTTAGCAAGTCTTTTAAATATTATTTTTATAGTCCTTTCTACCGCTACATTTCTTAATTTTTTCAGTCGTTTCTCTTGTCTTATTTTTACGTTTTTTAATTTGTCTTTTTATTTTACATTGTCTTATGTACAGCACTTTGTTCAGTTGTGACTGTTTTTAAATGTGCACTATAAATAAATGAACCTGAAGTTAAAGTCTAATTTTAAAGTAAACATCCAGCAAAAACTCTCACTCCAGTTCATGCCTGTCAAAATCAATTACAATGCATATTTTTGAAAGCCGTTTCTAAACCTTAACTTCACCCAATGTTCAGATGTTTGTGCCAGAAAAGTAAGCATGTATAATTAAATGATGCCACAGTTCCAAATGTAAACATTACATTGAGAATTGCAATTGTATTGCATGTTTTCTAAAACATTGTGATCAATTAAGGAAGTAACTATTAATTAACTTATTTTACCCTGATCCCCTGCAGTGTCTTGCCTTGGAGGGATTAAAACCCCACAATATGAATAATTTCCTCAACAATCAAATCAGAGACTGTGAACTGAAAAGCCTCCTGTCTAATAAAGAGTCTGCTGCCCTCTGCTGGGCTTATAGATGATGAACTCACCAGGGCTGAGAGCCAAAGCCATACCAGGCCAGCTGTAGGATCTGAAAGCCGAGGCCTAACAGGATAGTGTTCTTATTCCCTATGGAGCGCATCAGGATCCCCAGGACAACCGTCTGCACACAGAGATGAACCATTACAACCAAATGATGACCGATTTTCTTTTACAACCCAAAGCCTGAAGCACAGTGAGTAAATTAGCAAGAATGAACACATGCTGTGCTGCTCCGAGGCATGCCGTACAAACTTACAATGCAAGAAAAGAGACTGGAAACAAACCTGAGCCAAGATGGACAGGATTCCCACAACTGCAATGAACGCAGCAACTGTTTCTGATGTAAATCCAATGACCTTGGAATTCAAAACAAAAGAGAAGGATTATAATACTTTTTTTTATAGCTAAATAAAACCAAAAACACATGTTTATTTGTAATAAATTAAATATTAACTGAAAAGTTTGAAAATATTTCTTGTTTTCCTCTAGCTGTATTTAAGAAACGCTCCAATGCTCAACTCTTTTTTTTGAAAATAGTCTGGCAGGAGCACTTTAAGCTCAGCTTAGCGTAGATCATTAACAAAAACATTGCACCTGTCCTTTCACTTTACATCAGTCTTAGTACACAATATAACTACAAAAGTGTCAAGGTTTAAATTGGAAAAGTATTAAAACCATTTGGCCATTTTTGAATAAGATGCTAATGGTCTATTCAGGTTCAATGATATATGCTAAGCTAATCTAATCCCGATAATCAGTAGAATAGACTCAAATGTAACTTCCTTACTCAAGGGGAAGTGTAAAATGAGGAAGTGTGAAATTTAATTTTCATTAAAAGTAAAGTTTTCCTTAAAAAAGAAAACAGATGTGAAAATAAATTACTTGCATAATTACTTCAATAAAAACCATTTTATTTATAATAAATAAATAATAATAACAAATTGTGTGTATGTATGTATGTATGTATGTATGCATGCATGTACGCATGTATGTATGTATGTATGTATGTGTGTATATACACACACACACACGCATATATATATATATATATATATATATATATATATATATAAATAAATCACTTAAAAGGTTTTAACGTGATTTCAGCATGCTTTATAAAGGATTATAGTGTTTAATTGCATTTCTAATGTTTCTAATATTTCTTTAACATTTCTTAATCAAGTTGTCATTTAAGTTTTATCTTTGTTTTGTTCCAGTAAAAACAAAGTCATGAAATAAATGCTGTGCTGTCTCCCAATTTAAAATCAGCTTAATTTCTGAGCGTAGATGGAAAATAAAACAGTTACACAATCTTTCTAGGAAACTGCAGTGTTTATATGCAGATTCATGACGGAGCGCATGCAGCTTACAAAAACCACAAAAACACTCCGAAACAAAAGGCCTTCTGCAAAGCACTTGCACTTCAAATACTGCAGAAGCTAAGTGACATCAAATCACATGACTATCCCAGGCAGTTAGAACAGTTCTTTGTACTATTTGCTTGAAGGGTGAGGGAGTGTGTGAAATATGACTCACAGATACATGGCTTGCTTTTTGGGGTATTTGCTTAAGCTACAAGTAGGTTTGGGTGTTTGCATACTCATGACACCTGCAGCAAGCAGTAACAGCAACAACAGTATTCATGCCATGAGTCGTCATGACACTGGACTTTTAGTAACACTATAGAATAAGGTTCCAGTAGTATATGTTAGTTTATATATTTGCCAACATGAACAAACAATAAACAATACATTTATTACAGTATTTATTCATATTTAGTAACATTAGTTAATGAAAAAAAAAAAACAGCCATTGTTTGTCAGTTCTTTTTAACTCTCTTACCAAAACTTTAATAATGCATTAATAATAATAATAATAATAATAACAATAATTTTAATAATGCATTAGTAAATATTGAAGTATGATTAATATATATTGTACAAGTATTGTACATTATTAGTTGATCTTAGTAAATACATTAAACAACATGAACCTTTTTGCATGGTGTGACCAAATGTCTAACTCATTCATTTTCTTGTCGGCTTAAGGCTGATTTATACTTCTGCGTCAAACACCGGCGTATGCTACGGCGCTGACGCATAGCCCTTCGCCGTGGCCATCGCCGTCACTGACGTGCACCTCTTAAAAAAATGTAACTACACGTCGCAACGACATGTAGCGTAAGCTCTGTGATTGGTCGGGTTGGTAGCGCTGACGAGTCTGGGCAGGACCGAGAGCCCTGAGAATGGCGCGACGCCGCGCGAGCGATTGTTTACAAGTGTGGAGTACCATGAAGGAGCTCCGGATGGAAAGTTTTGTTTTGTTTTTACCTCATAGTTAAAGTTGTTGCACGTCCGCCGGTTCCTGCCTCTAAATGAGCGAGTTTGAGCCACTTGTACATCCCGGAAGTGTTCAGGAAATGCAAAAAAGTAGCGAAGAAACTCGACACAGGGGAACATTTACACCTCACTGCCAACTAGCGTTTCGGAAGTGTTAATGCAGACCGACAGAGACAGCGCGCATAAGTATAAATACACAGCCACGCGCGTTGCCTGCGCCGTGGGTTACGGCAGTCACCTGACGCAGAAGTATAAATCAGGCTTTATTCCCTTTATTAATCTGGGGTCGCCACAGCAGAATAAACCGCCAACTTATCCAGCAAGTTTTTACGCAGCGGATGCCCTTCCAGCCGCAACCCATCTCTGGGAAACATCCACACATACACACTCGTACACTACGGACAATTTAGCTTACCAAATTCACCTGAACTGCATGTCTTTGGACTGTGGGGGAAACCTGAGCACCTGGAGGAAACCTACGCGAACGCAGGGAGAACATGCAAACTCCACACAGAAACGCAAACTGAGCAGAGGCTCGAACCAGCGACCTTCTTACTGTGAGGTGAACGTGCTAAAATGTCTAACTTTGTACTTTGTAAAATGTAAAAAATTTGGGCATCACGGTGGCGCAGGTTTTCCTTCAGATTTTCACTTTTTCCATTTAATAAAATGAGAAAAAAAAGCTAAAAAGAATAGAAAAATAAAAAGTAATAAAATACAAATAGTTGTTTACATTGTTTTGAACTGTTTAACGTTCTAATAAATTCTGTTATGTAGCATTCCAATAAAAGGGATTATAAATAACTCCAATATAAGAGAAAAAAACAAGTTAAAACAAATATGAAGGCAAGTAAACAATCGGTTATAAACAAATAAAGTCAATTACAAACAATGACATTTTATCTTTGCCATGATGACAGTAAATAATATTTTAATAGATGTTTTTCAAGACACTTCTATACAGCTTAAAGTGACATTTAAAGGCTTAACTAGATTAATTAGGTTAACTAGGCAGGTTAGGGTAATTAGGCAAATTATTGTATAACGTCGGTTTGTTCTGTAGACTATCGAAAAAATAAAAACTTAAAACGGGCTAATAAATTTGACCTTAAAATTTTTTTAAAATTAGAAACTGCTTTTATTCTAGCTGAAATAAAACAAACAAGACTTTCTTCAGAAGAAAAAATATTATCAGACATACTGTGAAAATTTTATTGCTTTGTTAAACATCAGTTGGGAAATAATAAAAAAAAAAAATCCAAAGGGGGGCTAATAATTCTGATTGCAACTGTATATCAAAATATCAACAGTTTTGACAATGCCACGACATAAAAAAAAAAGTTCTAGTTGTGTGATGTGTAAAGGTATGCGTGTTGTACCTGTCTGAGATAGAGGAAGAAGCTAGAGTACTGTCCCGCCTCAGGCAGGTAGGACAGGAAGACTGTGATGCAGATGAGGAGAACTGTGGAGTCCTGGCCCACCTTACGTAAAGACTGCAAACAACAAACACAAAGAGAGCATTAGACACTGAAAGAGAATGAGTAGGCACTAGCACAGCAACGTGATTCTTTTAATAAATGACGAACAGCATCTTTGCCATCCTTCAAATGCCAGCTGCTCCACGCCAGCTCACTGTTCTTCTTTCAGGAATGATATTCACAGTGGTTGTGATGCGAGTCAACAGGGCAACCAAAGATCAAACATGCAAATGGCATTTTTAGATAGGAAATTAAATATTTAAAAATGAAAATAAGAAACACTAAAATAACAATAAATATTATAATAACAGTAAGCAACAGTAATAGTGGTATCATCATTTTTTTAATAAAATACAATAATAATAAAATATATTAATAAAAAAATGCTACAATAGGCAATTATATACTGTATACAGCTGAAATAAAAACTATTAGTCCTCCAGTTATTTTTTTATTTTTCAAATATTTCCCAAATGTTGTTTAACAGAGCAAGGAATTTTCCACAGTATTTCTGTAAAAAAAGTCTAACTTGTTTTATTTCGGCTAGAATAAAGCATTTTAAAGAAAAAAATAAAAAAAACATTTTAAGGTCAATATTATTAGCCTCGTTAGGATATTTTTTTCAATTGTCTACAGAGCAAATTACTTTCATACAATAATTTGTCTAATTACCCTAACTTGCCTAATTAAATGTACTAACCTAGTTATCTAAATGAACAAATAAATAAATAAAAACAAACACAAACTACAATATTACTAGAACATTTTTAAGTCTTATTCCAGTAGTAATAGTTACATTCATTAGGCCAAAAATATAATCAAAAAGTAAAATTGCAAAATATCTAAATTAATTCTAATAATTAAAACAGCATTTTTAGATCAGTTTTTTTTTACTTCTACTAAGTAATGTTCCAAAAGATTTAAACAAATGAGAATTTAAACAAATATTACTCCCACCCCTAACCTTTAAACAAGATGAAATTATATTATCCAAAAATTATATAAAAAAATTAAATAAAAATAAAAATGTAAAAAAATATATTTTAAAAAATGTATGAAAAAGTTTAAAAATAAAAAACCTGTACAGAATACACATGTAACTTGATATCCCAATATTACAAACATTAATCCTCAGGTTTTTATGGAATGTACTTAATTATATTTGCTGGATTTGGTCAATGGTTAAGATCAATACTCAAAACTGTGCTTAATATGTTTTTTTTTTTTCAGGAAGTCAAATCTGAAAAAACAAACAAAACTAACTTAATCTTTCTGAATGATGTATATTATATATATTAAAGCAAACCTAAAATAACTAATTAATCAGTTAATCAATCACCAATCATTAAATTAAGCTGGACCACCAATCAGGAGCACTCAGTCTGATGATGTGACAAAATACGACAAGGTCATCTTATCATAATGACTGCATCTTCACAGGCATCATAGACTCACAGCGAATGGATCTGCCTGCTCCCAGGAAATAGGAGCTCCCCAAGAGGCTGGTCTCATCTTCTCAGGCAGAGACTCCGGAACCGCCACCAGGATGAAGCAGATGTCCAGCAGAGCAATAGCCGTGGCGAGGATCACCACTAGAGTGTCTCCGTACACCTCAGACAGATACGCCCCGATCGCCGGACTGGTGACCAGACTGGCTGCGAATGTGGCTGATACCTGTGAAAGAAGATCAGAATCTTCAGACCACGAAGAAAACATTCATTGACGTAATTAACACCATTTCTAATTTGAAGAGCAATAGAGGAAACTGCAGATGGCTGTCAAAATAACAGGAAACCAATGTACTACGAATAGAGAAATTGTTCTTGCACCTACAGCTGTTGTATAATTCAGAGTTTCGACATGCTTCTGCTCACCAGGCCATACGCTGTGCTCCTCTCATGCTCCTGCGTGATATCAGCCACATACGCGAAGATCACAGAGAATGTGACCGCAAACACTCCAGACATGGAGATAACTGCAAAATACCACCTGCAGGATTAGACAGAGAGAATGAGTAGATGGAAAACATCAGACTAAGGTTACAGTAAAGCATTCAGAATGATTGAGATAAGCAAAAAAAAAAAAAAAAAACTTTAAAACAAACATATGAAATATGAGAGTTTAAAACAACATTTTAGATTTTTGCAATACAAGTTACAATGATATGATATAGTAACTATATTAAATACTAAACAGCAAGAGGTAGAACTATTTTATATACAATTTCACATTTTATAAACCGTAAAAATACATTTAACAAAAAATAATTTTATTTAACTTATCTTATAAAATTTTCACCTTTATTACAAGTGTTGGAGTTTTATTTTTTTATTTTTTTTACTATATTTACTATAGTTTTGATTGGTGGTTGAGTGTTCTGTATAATAATAAAATAATTATTATATATTAGCAGAGCTTCTCACAGGTTTGAAATATTCTTGAGGTGGCAGCCGAATTGAAACACACCATTTACCCACATCACATAAATAGTTAACGATATGCAATAAAACATATTTTAATTAAACAATAATTGTATTTATTATGACACTTTTATAGACTGTATTTTAATGGGTTAAAGTAAAAAAAGAAAGACTGTTGAAATAAAAACAAATCAACTATTTCTCTTTTTATGCTATTGAGGAGCCATGTGCACACACTCTCTCTCTTTCAAATTCAAAGCAAACTTGAATACCAAGGCACTTTAGATGCGTTTACAAAATAGCCTATGTAATATATTAACATCATTAGAAGTATTAAAATAATCAGCAAATAAGCAATAATGACAGAAAATGAATAAAAACAGACGATATCTCTAAAAATTATCGTAATTACAAGAATAAAACCTGTAGATTATTTAAATAAGGCAAATGTGTTGATTTACTACTGGTGTACATATATTTTGCAGCCAGTTTAGACAGGTCATTTGGTCCTTTTCGAGTATTAGTAAAGTTTAGTCATTTAGATAAAAAAAAAAAAATATGTAAAGGCCGAACAAATTTAAGTGACAAAAAAGTGGGTTTGCAGAGCACGTGAGAGTGTTGACGGTTTCTTATGCACAGAGAACTAAACGGGTAAATGAGAAAAGATTTTCCACTACTTAATCGATCGCAGATGTTGGGTTATATTGGGTCGATACAAAATAAAAAATAAATAAATAAAAACTTGGGTGGACGTTAATATACCTGGGGGGCCCCCAATATGTAATATATATATATATATATATATATATATATATATATATATATATATATATATATATATATATATATATATATATATATATATATAAACATAAGGCATTTCAACAATACAAACTAATAATATAAACCAATATAAACTGCTAAAGGTTCTTAATATTACAGTTTTATGTAGTATTTACATTTATTAGTTGAGAATTGGCATATCTGTAATTAAACAAGGTACACTATGCACGATTATCAGGAAAAATGCCTTTATTTTTGTATTAACAATATAATTATAAAAGTGCAAAAAAATTAAACCACTTAAAATCTTCAGGCGACATGATTTTTGGGCAGATCTGTTCCAAAAAAACCTTTAAAGAGTAGTCAATAAAATAATCCTATACAGCTTGAAGTTGTAGGTCCTGTACATTTGAGGTCCTGTCAGTGTGATGTGCGTGTCTGCTTTGGTCTTGATTTCAGAGGCTCTCACCATGGGCTGATCTTCATGAGCGGGATGGGGGCGCAGGTGAAGAACACCGTGAGCAGCAGGAAGGACTTCCGACCCCACACATCTGACAAAGCACCAATTAATGGAGCACTCAAGAAAGACAGCAAGCCCTGAGTAAACAAAAAAAAAAACACAGAAACCCTTTAAATTACACATTTCTTCTGGTCACGAGGGCTTTTCAGAGCCTATTGAGATCTCTTTATGTCACAGCAAAAGCTTGGATCACATCTTGTTTATAAATCGGCTTTAAATGAGTACATTCTGTTTCCACTTCACTGTATTTAAGGGCATCGCTGTGTGGCCAGGGTTTATCATGAATAAACATGGCAACAATAAGTGTATCCAGCTCCAGTCGCGGCTCTTATCTCGTTTAACATTGGGAAGGAAAAATTGAACGGCTGGAGTCAATGTCCTACCTTGACTCCATGAATAAGTCCGTTCATCAGGAATGTGTGCTGGGGGAATGTCTGACGTAAGACCTAAAACAAAAACACAAACACACGCATAAGTGAATGCTGCAAAGAGATTATCTTTGGGTATAGAATAACTACAGAATGACAAATGATTAACAAGCTTCACTCCATAGTAGAGCATCAAATAAGAGGCGCTATTTGTTTGTGTAATGGAACATCTGGCAACTGGGCGATATGTGAAAAATATTTCACACAGATTTGGCTTGCAGTTCAGAAGCAACATCATGAATATTATAACGCACTTAAAAAACAGATAGCATCTTGATTCTGCTTTGGTGATCCACATTATTGTTTATTTTTTTACAAATCAACAAAACAAACTGATTCTAGTAGTTTAATAAAGTATTAAGTGTTCCCTGCTAGCCTATTTACTTCCTTCACCTTTATTCTTTAGTCCCTATAAGTCAACAAAAAATTCTCATGCACAAGATATGTCTGTGTGGGTGGGCGTGTGTAGTGTGAAGTCCATGCTTTCTGAAGTGCTGTGTTATTATTTTCACCCTCTGTTTTTAGGTGGGATATTATGCTGTCTTTAAATGACGTTTTTAAAGGCACTCTGATTTATTCTTCCGAGTAACATTTTGTAAATGCACTCAAAATGTTTTTGCTGTTTGTTCTTTCTACTTTAAAATAAACATAATTCCTTTTGAGCAAAACTTAATTGTTTTATATTCAGTCTACTTAAATTTGCAAAAACAATTAAGTTAACTTAATTGATTTGTGTTGGAACGCATGGAGGAATTGTGTAGAAGCACAATTTACTATGTAATATATACTGTATAAATAAAAAAATTTATTTGCTATAATTATTATTTATTGCCATATTGGTGCATATAAATAAACTCATAATTACTTCTATAAAAAAGGGTTAAACATGATTACATAGCACAAATCTGTAGAAGATTTTTGATTTTGTTTTCGATTCGGTTGAAATTACATTAGTCTGATGAAAGAAGAAACTTAAAATTACTTTTCATCCATTTCCTACATTAAAGAAATATTACAACGGTTTGTAAGAGTTGAAATATTGCATATATTTTGATATCTTTGACAATTCAAAACATGAGCTGAAAACAGAGACTGGTGACTTAACAACCCAGCAGGTGGGAATGCGGGAAAAACTAGTTCCTGCTGCATTTGCATCTGAGTCTGCTGAAACTCAGCTTCATCCACCCCATCTCACATATGGTCATTTCAATGTTTGAATGTTCTAGATTAACCAAACTGACTTTAACTATCATGTTTGATATCATTTGAAATGTCTCAGTGCGATTGGTACAATGGTCTCATTCTCTCGGAAATAGACATAATCAAAACAATAAATATATAACTTCAGGCATCTTTTGAACCACTGTGAAGGGTGTGACTTTCCACAGGCAGCACCACTAAGGCCCCGTTTACACTAGTGCGTTTTAGTTTTAAAACGGCGTTTTAGAATGAAAACGATCCGCGTCCACACTCGCGTTTCACCCAGCGTTTCTGAACTGCTCTTCGTCCACACCAAAATGCTGAAAACGCACATCACGTGACCACACACACACTCAGGCAAGCGCTGTAGCCAATCTACCCAGATGAGAGCTGTGCTAGTCGGACTTCTCATCAAGCATCTCCCGCTGGATCTAACCTCACTATATTTATTAAACGGAATATTTATTTCATCTTCTTGTCTTTATTTAACGACATATTCATTGGACATTGGAATCTATTACTTGTTCTCAGGTAACGTGTTTTGGCTAAGCGCAAAGATAAGTTATGTAAGCACGTACATTCTGTATATTGACTGATCGCTTGCCTTTATTTCCTATAATGTATAAACTTATTGTATGTTATACTTTTATAATGGCCATTATCGATTAAAACTGATATTCAGCAAAGAGAGGGTGTGTTTCGTATTTTCACTGAAATTGAAAGGAGGCAGTTGTTGTAGGCTCCGTTTTGTTATAAATATGCACACAGTGAAGATGACGCTCATATTTGCAGCACGGCGCCTCAACATTTTTGCTGTCTGTTTAGTTGTTAATATTAAAATGAAAATAGGCAGTTCCTTATATGTTTACATTTTATTGTTGAGAAAGTAAAACAACGTAGCCAGGGTGATGTGAATGAAGTTATAAAGTACACTGTTCCCTTTGAAGATTTACCCGTGTCCTCGGTATAGTCTGTTTTCCATATCAAACTGAGAAGAAGAGACTGCAGCCATGATCAAACTTGCGAAGTTTTAACTTACACGGAGAAGATGCAGGACTGAACTGTGCGTGTTAGGCTACTTAATATTCAGGAAAAGCCCCAATCAGAGAGGCGAATGTCTGCAGCCCCGCCTCTGTTTTCAAATGTCTCCGTTTTCCATCATCCACACTGAGACGGAGCAGCTGCGTTTCAGAATGAAAACGGCCTCTCCAGCGTTTTCGAAACGCTCCGTTTTCGGCGCTCGAGAACTCCGGCGTAGTGTGGACGGATGGCGTAACCGTAGCAAAACTTATGCGTTTTCAAACTAAAACGCATTAGTGTAAACGGGGCCTAAGTGTGAATGCCTTTTGTTATTCACACCCCCTTCCTTGAGGGAATTCTTGGATTATTTAAGGTAAGGTCTGAGAAAGGCTCAGGGCGATTCTGCCTAACCAGATCAGCCCATAACATGGCTTGCTCCATGTTATGTATATTTCAAAGTCAGGATATGCATCTTTTAATCTTGGATTTATCTTTGATAATTTGATGTTTTGTATTGATCATTTATGAATTGACTGATTGAATTGGCATAATACATTTACCTGACTAATAAATTGTTATGTTTTGAATTATTCAAACCTCGTGTTATTATCACTGATAAATGTTGTTGTCCATAGCACTACAAGCCACTGTACAGGTTAGTAACGGACTAAAACATGTTAGACGGAGCAGCGTGGCACGCTATACAATGTTGTTAGAGATCCGACTAACAAATTGGCATTTATTCAAGTATACTTGGACTGTAAAAGGCCAACTATTTAGAACAACAAAATATTGTTGAAACTACTTTAAAATGTGGATATTTAGGCCTTCATCTACAAACGTATAATCCTGCGCGATTATTATTAAAATACTTTGTCTTGAATTAGAAGATAACAGATCTATGGGGACCAGATAAAAATCTCCTAAATTGAGTAAGTAGGGTTCTGCCTTTTTAGGAGAGTGGTTAATCGCCTCTGTTTAATGACCAAGACTGACAAGCTTGTATTAAGAGATTGTATACCCGGCCGGTGCAAGACTCGGGATGCTATAGGAATCTGAGTAAATGAGAATAAGGTATAATAACAAATAAAAAAAACATTCAATCATAATCTAAATTAATGTGAACGGAAACAAAATAACCTTCTCAATGTTTTATAATTGGAGTCAGATAAGACGAGGATAAATATATTATTATTCTAAACCACCTCATACTAAAATTGGAGTCAGATATGAGCTAAGTTTAATATAAAACAACATTGTGCACTGGAAAGACCGAACATGCAGTGAACCTTCATCCACCATTGGATACCGTCATTGGACCAACTGGCTGGACCCTACAGGTTTAAAAACATTTATAGCATAGAACGCCAAATAACATGAGCAAGAGACAAAGCTAAGTTTGCACTATGATTCAACATTTAAACAGTTTTCCTAGGTAAATGATGAGTCATATGTTATTGTTATTCTTTTTTTATAAAACAACCACAAGCACAAAATATGTTGTTGTTTTGACTGAGCAACCTATAATAAATGTACAAGGCAAGACTTGAGAGACATTTGCAATTGAAGGAAAATACAAGCCTCTAAAAGAAGCACTGATTCTCACAGCTTGATTAATGATTAAACACACAGTTTACAATAGTGTTAATGTTTTACATAAGTGTAATCCAAATAAAGATCACTTTTCTCATAACCAGGAAACAAATCAATTAACCTGCATACAAACTCAAAGACACCATTTTTTTAGTTTAAAGAGGTCAACATTACATACAGGGCTTATTTCACATTAAAATATACAATGTAATGTTTAATTTTGCCTTTTATGTGCCACCATTAACTACTAACTGTAGCCTGAGGCAGTTACTAAATTACTGCAACTGAACATTTGGAACATGCTAAAGAAAAGAGAAAATAATACGTAAATGATTTTTTTACATTTCCTGCAAAATCATTCTGTTTGTAGATAGGTTGGATTCATGTAATGAGAAAAACAGAAAACTTGATTCTCATACTTTATCAGTAAATGTTAATAGATTGAAAATGTAAACAACTGAAACTGAAAAAAAGAAGAAAATAATTATACATTTATTTTTAAAAATGTGGAGTCAAAATGTCCACATATTTAGTGTTGAATCTTGACCGGTCCTGTGTTTTAAAGTCCACATGAACCGGAATCTGCGACCGTTTTTTTCTTCTTTTCTTTATTGTGACTAGGTGTAAACCTACACTGCTCTCACGGTTTGGTTACAATTATCATGCCATCATCGATGCAGTTCCATTCGATACCTCGGTGCACTGATGATGCTTTCCATACACAATTTTAGATTTTACTTCACAGCACTATAATTATTGTATGAAAATGAATAGATATATTTATTTGTAATACAATTTTGTCCTTTAATACAAGCAGTCCGATATATGTACTGTACCTTATAAAAAAACCCTGTACCTTTACATGCACAGAACCTCATGATCATTTATAGCAAAGAAACAAAAGTAAATATTCCCCTCGCTGAGTTCTTACACCCCTATGATTGGCCATGTGCTCAACAGGCTGAAAGGTTGTGATTGGCTCTAGTGCTCTGGTGCTGTTCACCGATCAGTGATACTGATAAACGGCAGCGGCAATCACAGCTGATCCATAATAGACACGATGGAGAAAACTTACTCTGCAGACACACGTTAGAGTCAGTGACTACGTTTACATGGACTCCAATAACTCAATTTTAATGCGATTAAGACAATACTCTGACTAAGAGCCTACCATGTAAACCACAATTTTTTATTAATTTAATCTAACTGTCATCTAACAGTGGAATGCCTTGAGTGATTGACAGCTAATATGAACCAATACAGTGGCAGGGAAGAGTGATTCAGCATGTTTTTAGAGAAAAAAAAAAAAAAATTTGAAACAGGTCGCACTACCCCCAATTATTTGCAGTCGCATAAATGCTCCCATATATATTATGAGGTCGCATAGATTCATTTTCAGATGCATATGCGACTAAAATGGTCGCAATTTCGAGTCTGCATAGTAAGCTACAGCAATATAGTGCATAAGAGATAAATAATGTCAGTACATAAAAACTGGTTGTGATTATTACTGAACCGATACCAAATTGTCCGCGTCTGCATCGCAGTGCACTGAAGAAACAATTAATTTTACAACCCTTAAAATGTAACACAGTTCCTAGAGAAATGGAACATTAAATGAGAAAACAGTGGGCGTGACTTGTTTTTTCTACTGCAATCTGATTGGATATACTAAAGTGGGCATTTTATTTAGAAATATAGGGAAATGGGTTTTAGAAGAGCTCAGACACCTCCTCACCACCATTTCTGTTTGTCGTCAAAACTGACAGCTGAAAAGGCTTAGTTAAGTATGTTAACCACGCCAAGTTCCTAAAAATCACAATCTGAGAATTGAAACAAACAGGAAGTGCATTTTCAGATTTTATTTTTAGATTACAAGGATTTTTTTTCTTCTTAAATGACATGCACAGATGACTTGTTCACCAAAAACTAGCATTGTGAGCTAACAAAAAAAACAAAAAAAAAAACAATCACATGGTTTGTTTTAATGCATAAAATAACAATAAATAAAAAGGAAACATTTGTATTGTGCAAGATCAGACAACTCTTGAATGTTTTATTCGTACTTCGTACAAAATAACTGGTGTTTATTTACCCATTTTTCTTTTTCGTTTACTTACTGTTGTTATTTTTTCCCTGATTAAAAAAAAAAGATGTTCGTACTTTAAACAAAATAACCAATTCCAATACATTTGCCTTTATAGGATTTAAATATAAACAAATTTGCTCTATAACACTTGGTTCCCCACTCTAAACACCAGAATGAATGCTGTGAACAGACTGTTCCTTCCCACTGTTTGGAGAGGAAAAACAAAGCATGTGAACACACATTTCACCTGCTGTGTTAATTTGATATGTTAAGGGGCAGTGCAGCAGAGCTGGATTGCATTGTCTGAAAGAGCAGAACTGTGGTGCTCACTGAGATGTTAGCCAAGACTTGTCAGTACAGTGTTGAGCTGGAAGGGTTTGTTAGGCTCATTAGTGCTTCAGTATCAGCGGCTACTAATCAAATAAAAGGCCAGAGCAAAGAGCACCGAGGCGACTCTCTGGCTCAACTGCACACAGTAAATGCAAATCCTCCTCCCACACTAGCAAATGAGGACAACAAGTGGTCAATTAATTCATATACAAGACATAGACTATTAAAATTAAGCCACCATCAAAAATTTAAAATAAAAAGATAAGCATAAAAGCAAGTCAAAATGTTCTCATACTTTGTGTTGAATCTTAATCGGTACTATGTGTAAATGTAAAAAATAATAAGAAATAAAAGTGAAAGCTTTTGTATTGTGCAAGATCAGGCAACTTTTGAATGTTTTTCCTTATCATTTAGGCAATTTGATAATTCATCACTCCATATAATTAGTGTTGTCAGGTTTTAGTGTTTAACCATTTCAAAAATAATAATAATAACCATTTCATTTTATTCTGCTAAATTAACAGACTATGGTAACAAAACAAATGGCAATATTTGCTATTACTGATGTGATAACAGATAAACTTTAGTACAGCAAATCTCTAGAAATAATTCAGCTAAACAAACAATAAACATGGAAATACATTATCCCTGATATTAATAAAAGCTAGATTAAATTATTTTTTTCATCTTACATTTACATTACCCTTCATATGTTTAAACTAACTATATTTTTCATTAACATTTGTTAAATATTTCACTAAGTTTTTAAAGGAGGACCCATTATGTCCTTTTTCAAGATGTAAAATACGTCTCTGATGTCCCTAAAAAGTGTATATGTGATGTTTTAGCTCAAATATCTTACAAATAATGTTTAATAACTCTTTGAAATAGCCCCTTTTAGGCCTTGATCCTAATTGTGCCATTTTTGGTACTGTTGCTTTAAATTCAAATGAGATTGTGCTTCCAGATCTCTTTAAAAAAGTGGGTGGAGCTACAAATGCCTGTGTCAGCATAGTGGCAGATTTAAAAACAAGAGTATCATCCTCTACTACTTAAAGAAAAGATAGGCGAAGTTTTCCACCTCTGAAGCCATTACAAAGGGACAACGTCAACCCAAGTGTTTCTGCGTTCTTTTCATGAAGTATGATCATAAAAAGTAACATTAATAAATGTTTACTATTAGGTGGTTATATTTACAGACTGTTGCCACACAGTTTTGCCTAAACCACTTAAAAAGTGATTTTGCTATAATAGGTCCTCTAAAATTAATTAAATAAAGCACAGAGCAGTGACTTCTTTTACAAAATGAAAAACAAACTTTTAATACCCCAAACTTAACGATACACTGAGTGCATATATAGATCTGACCAAATACACATTTAAATGCACATATTTAAATGAATTGAACTTGGATTGGGCAAGTGAGAATTAACACTCCACAACAATTCATGAATTATTCAAAAAAAAAAATGTATAAAAAAAAGAAAAAAGAACACCAAGCACACTTTTCACATGCCATGTAAATCATACAGAAATAACAGCTTCAAATCAGAGCCACTCATCTCTCTGAAGAAAAAACATTTTGCAAACAGCACAATGAAGCATGCTGTTGTTGTACTGCATACAGCAACAGTAATAGTATTATGCAGGCCACAATTAAAACTTATCACTAGGGCTGCACAATAAACATGGGGGGAAAAAAAAAAGAATCGTTATTATAATCACAGTACATGCACTTTGCGGACTGCAGAGAAGTGGGAGGAATCACATTTATTTTATGTCCCAAGCATTTACATGTTACATGCATAGGTTGTTTTCCAAATCTGATCAATCAGAGCCTAACTATTTTTGTACCCACCTGTCCATAAGGTGCTTATATGCTATTGGCTAGACCAGGGTTGCTCAAACTTGGTGCTGGAGAGCCAGTGTCCTGCATATTTCAGTTCCAACCACAAATAGACACACCTGAACCAGCTAGTCAAGCTCCGTCTAGGTATACTAGAAACTTCTAGGCAGGTATGTTGAAGGAAGTTAAAGCTAAACTCTGCAGTAAACCCTCCCTTCAAACCCAAAGCGGAGTCCCAAATGACACACTCTAGTCTACACTTTGCACTTATGCACTTACACATTTAACAGCCTAGTATATGTATGTAGTTTCATCCCAAATGGAACTTTAATGGATTTTCTTAATCAAGTGAAAATTCAAACCATTTCCCAGATGATGTTTGACGGTTGCCAAATTAGTGAAATAAATTACCAAACTACCAAATAATACCTGCCTTGAGTATAACCGCATTCACCATCATGAGGGGCTGTAATTACTCTCATTGGAGAATTTTGCTTTCACACTCCAAAATAAAGTAATCCAACATCATTTGCAGATAGCTCCGCCCCTTCCACTATGTGGACAAGCAGTGGCCATTGAGTGTGTGACGTGTCCTTCAATCCACACTTCTTTTTAATGGATAAAAATGTTCAGCATCCGGATATCTAAAGTGCACTTATTATTCTTTTAGAGTTTTCAGTGAGAACGCACAACTTACACTATTTATGCTACAAAATGGAGTAGAATAGTGGATAAGTATGTGATTTGGGACGCACTTCGTGTTAGGGCTCCCTTTGGCTAAACCAACCCTAAAGCAGGTCGCACACTAGAGGCGCCGCTCGGCGCCGCAACACGGCGCGTACATGACAGTTTAAAGTATCACACACCAGACGCGCACATTCGAATGATATTTAACATGAAACTAATCAGATGGCACTCTGTGGCGCGGCTGAAAAAAATAACACTAACACTAAAAATAACACTAACACTAACACCATGAGTATTAATACAAAAATAGTGAATAGAAATACGATTATCTGCCATTCATAGTGTTTTAAAGTGTTTTTAAAAAGATCACACCACAAAAATCTATTAAATCCTTAATTAAAGTTAATTAGATAATAAAAGTAAGAATTGCCTGTTTATTTCAGTATGATCACGACATTTATTTCTCTAAGGATATGCTTTAGTGCAACAAATATCATATATTTTCCCAGTATCACTCAGCCCTACTTGGCACCATGTTAAAAAGTAGAAATCACAGGTTCAGCATCATTTACAACCATGTGGCCTGAGAAACCCTCCGGTCAGCCTTCAGAATAAAAAGGTCATTATTAGCATGCCGCCGTTTGATGTTGTTCTAATACTGCTGGGTCCATTATGCCTGGCTGACACAATGCATTTTTCACGAATGAAAACTGAGTGCATCATCTTGCCCTTTCCATTTGATCAGTATTCATTTATTCATACATTTGTACAAGGCTCCTCAGGCCCAGGCAATGGGAAATATCACTCCTTGATATGGACACAAAAGCAATTGAGGATGAATGCAAACATTCATGGCTCATAATTCACTCTGTTCTGAAAGCAAGAATGAGGGCAATGAGGAGTAAAACTGGTTTACCGCAAGCATGGGAGTGGTGAGAAGTCCCCAGGCGAAGAACTCCAGGAAAATAACCACCACCGCATGGTAGACACTAGGCTCTCCAATGCCCTGTGGCTAAACAAGCAATGCCAAACACAGGAAGAAGTAATGTGAACGTTTAAAGAAGAAAACAAATGAGATGGGACATTATACACATTACAGACTGAGCAAATGTCAATTTTATACACAAGATGCTTTTATTACAGGCATTAAATAAACAATATTATGGTATGCAAGAGCCAAAAGAGCCAACAGTTCTAGACTTCTTATCACACACTTATTTGCTCTTATCTAATACACTGCTAAAGCTTTTACTTTTGGAAAACAAATATCAGATGGATGTCTGCCTCTAAGTCAACCTACAATAACCTTATTGTGCACACATGGAAAGTGACTTCATGGTACACAGGTATAAATGTTAACGCAACATCACGCTACACACATTTAATCTTTCTGTTCGGTCTGCAATGCATTTGTAAATACAGTATGGTGAATAGGGATATGATCAACCATTCTAGATCCATTATGCTAAACCTTCAAATTGATTCCGAGAGTTTCAAGCTAATCACTATGATTTTAAATACTGCAAATGATTAAAAAGCACTGGTTATGTGCAGCATGCTGCTGTTGTGGTCATGGAGGAGTAGAAAACATGAGACTGATTCCTGTGATGCTCCAGGGACAGACGAGTCTCGCTGATGTACAGCTTCTCCATCGACTAGACTGCAGCTCTGCACAAGACATTTGGCCATAGGAGAAATGGTCATGCCCAACTGAGCCTGGTTTCTCTAGAGTTTTTTTTTTAATTCTTCACTTTCGCCAATTGGTGATTTTTTTTTTTTCCTTGCTGCTGTCACCACTGGCTTGCATGGTTCTGGATCTGTAGAGCTGCGCATCGATAGATTTGCTCTTCAGCGTTTGTACTCTCAGTAGTGATTGTTAAACCACACTGAACTGAGCTAAACTGAACTTAAACACTGAAAACTGGACTGACATGGTTTCAATTTACTGTGATCTTTTATGTGAAGCTGCTTTAACACAATCTACATTGTAAAAGCTCTATACAAATAAAGGTGAATTGAATTAATTTGGTATAGTGTAAAACCCTCCTACATAAACGGACTCAAAAAACATGTAGTCTTTTTTAAATTACAGATTCGATGGATGAATGCTTACTTTCATAGAGAACACATAATTTAGTTTGGTAAAAAACAGATCATTCATCTGCACTTAACTATTAACCTGGGGTTTCCCAACTCGAACGGAGGATGTTTGTGAAAAGCTCATCAGTAATTGATTTAAAAAAAATAATAAATTATCTATTTAAAGTGGAATACTGATTTATTTGATCAAACATAACATATCAATTCCAAATCACAGAATTGTACCAATATTTCATTCCCAAAATTTGACTTTGTTCTTTGTGTCCAGGTGTCTCAGCAGTAGAAATACAAGGTGCACCTGTTGGCCAATTTCCACATGTCCCTTGTGGGCTTATTAGAACATTTATCAACAACAACAACAAAAAAGGATTTAAATGATTTTAAGTTTAAAAGCACACAATTATTTATGAAAAAGCCTTTTCTACTAAATTAGTTCAGTAAAGTATTTATTGTACTCTGAAAAAAAAACTAAACATTTGATTATGTACAAGAAAACAGCTCAATAAGTACCTTTTACTAAAACAATAACAGCCTTTTATTATTAAGCTAACGCCAATGTGTCAATTAAAAGATTGGTTCATCAGTTATAAAATGTAAAATCGGCCAATTATGTCTTTGTGGCTGAATTATTGGTGCATCTTTAATTTCAGGAGGACATTAATTAACTTTAATAAAAAAAAGAACATGCAAACGTGATAAGTTATTAATATGAAATCTCACTATATACCTAAATAAGCATTTTACTTTTATATTTTCTAAGAGCTAATTTGTTATTACAGCATCCAAAATTACAAAATACACTATCAATCAACAAAACTGCATGAAAACACACCAATGTCAATAATACAGGGGTTTAGCAAGGTGTCTCCCAAAATAACAGTGGAGCCAAAGAACACAAATAGAGTTAACGTTAATGGTGTGAATACATCAGATGATTCCTCAAGACAACATTTTAAAGGCCATCGACTGTCTTTAATTTTTCTTTTTTTGTGCTCAATCGACTTCTCGTTTTAAAAGGTTTTACAATGAAATCAACACAAAAACACGTCACTCTTATGAAGCACACATCCGTAGAGCTGTCAAACAGAACAGATGTCATGAAAAGCATGATGGCACACTCACTTCTATCACTAAAGACACGTAAGGAAGATTAATCCTACATCATTTATTCATTATCCTAATTTCATCTTTTAGGTTTAACTTCCAAGTAATTGCTTTGATATACAAACGCAAGCCATCATCGATGTGGCTGGCTTTCTCGCCAGCTGGCTGCTTGTTTTCACTGTTGGCTCACTAATTAATCCATTGTCTCTCACAGAATTCCGCTCACTTCACCTTATAAAAAAGATATACAAGTTTACAACATGAACTAAATTAAATCACAACCAGGTGTGTGACAGGTTGTCACTTAATGAGTTGTTACAGCTTATCTTGTGAAAACACTGGCTTAGCTTGCTAGCCCTAACTAGCATATGGCTAACAGCCACAGAGAAATGTTTTACTCACAGTGCCTCCATCTTTAATGATGATTTTCTTTGCTAGAAGAATGCTGCGGTTCAGCCGCTTTTTCTTCTTTTTCTCTCCAGTCATCGTTAACTTATATCCATTCTTGTTTGGGGGAGCTGGACCCGCGAGGTGTGGCTAAATATCACACTTTACCGTTAGCATCCACGCTAGGATATGCGACTTCCTGTCCTTCTCATCGTTGTGGAGAGTTCAGCCCATGTTTGCAAATACTGGCATCTCATTGGTCAATGTCACACGGGAGTGGTTTTCTTCGTGATTTGATTGGTTGACTGAATCGCCCGTGCGAGTGAACTCGGTGCTTATTACCATAATCGGGTACACAAAACAACGAGGAATCCCTCTATCTTGTAAACTGCTGACTGTTGTGCTGTTTTTATTGTGTTATCTGCACAGATGGAGTTTCGTCGGACAAAAACATCAGGGATATTATTTAAAACAAACGAGATATTTACAATAGTGTATATTGGATAAACTTTATATTGGATATCTTAAATGATGACAGTCAAATTCTAAATCATTTTTATATTTTCACATACAATTGACGTTGGAGTAAAGATTACAGGTGTCTTAAAACATTTTCATATTTACAATCTACATCACCGACTGACTAGTTTCAACACCTGTTGTAACTATTTCTCCTCATCTCTATGGCCCACACATAATATATAAAACATACAGAACAGCTTTTTCATGACACAGATTGACTGAGGAGATTGTCAGAATCTGACATTAGATATTAAAAATAACAAATATGTCCCATCTTGGAGCAGTGCAGTAGGAAGTGATCATATGATTACCAACATCACATTTCCTCATAAAAAAGACTGACAATATAAAAATATTCACATAAGACTCATTCGATCTGTTTCACTGAGAATGCACTGGGTTTCAAAACTGTTTACACCACATACAGCAGTTTCATATAAAACAATCAATGTTGTGGTTATGAAGAGTTTTCTACAATTTCCTGATTTTGAAAAGATTGAACTCGAACATGCACCTATAAAACATATACAGGCTCAGTTTGAAACAGCCAAAAGTTTAGGAAGGTTACAAAGCAATATTTAAATAATGCTAGCAAAACATTATACAGAACAGTTATGGCTTTGAATGTACTTTTTATAAAATGATTTGTTTAGTTCCTGAATGTAATCTATAAACACAACATGAGCTGTATTACACAGGGGTCAATCTCAGTTCCTGGAGGGCCGCAGCTCTGCACAGTTTAGTTCCAATTCAAATTAAACACACCTTATCAAACTAACTGAGTGCTTTAGTCTTGCTTGATACCTACAGATAGGTGTGTTGAAGCAGTGTTGGAACTGAACTGAACCCTCCAGAAATTTAGTGTGACACCCATGCTCTAAGACACAGGTGGAGGGCTGTTCCTGGAGGGCCGCAGCTCTGCAGTTTAGTTCCAACCCTGCTTCAACATGTTTACCTGTAGATTTCAAACAAGCCTGATGGACTCAATTAGTTTGATTCAGTGTGTGAATTGGGGTTAAAGCTAATCTTTGCAGAACTGCGGCACTTCAGGATTTGAGTTTGACACCCATGCTCTAAAACATGAATACAGCATTTGACTCATTCCTCAAACTGGGTGTCGATAAGATTAGAAACAGAATGCTGACAGTTGCATGAATGCAAATATTTGCATATAGATTATAGATTTCAGATTGTGTTCAGTGTGGTGTTGCAGAAGGTCAATCTTCCTCATCTATAAAAGGAATGTCAAGTTCGGAAAATCGTCTCTTGCCCTGATTGTCAGTAGAAACAGCAGATTCTGGGAGGTTTTGCTTCTGAATGACACACATAGACTGGACTCCATCTCTGCGTGAGGCAGAGCGATTTTGGTTTCGGCCCTCAGTTGGCTGTTTGCTCCCCATTTTGGTGTCATGTGTTGAATCAGGAGGTTTAGCCGGTTTCTCTGGCTTTAAGCACTTCAAGGCATCATTCGCTGAAAAAGATGCATTGGATTAACCACTGGAGACTAAATGCAGTGCTTCCCAAACATACACTTTACTTGGGCAGGTGTATTTGTTGATTATTTGTGATCGATTAACCAGTGGAAAATCTTGTCTGGTCCTACACGTTTTGTACAGTTCGGTGTGTGTGCACCAGACTGGTCAACACTCCCACAGACAATCTCACATGCTGTGCAGGCCCACAGAGACGTGCCTTTTGGGCATTTTAAAAAAACGCGTCTGGCTTCTAGTTTCTAAATATCTTAAAATGTCCATGATTTTTTGCTTTCATTTTCTAAAATTGTTAATCATTAAATCGCATGCATTTTGCAATTTTTATTTAAGCCTATTTTCGCTTGGCTTCACAACTGACTGAGAGAAACATGAAATATTTAATTCTTTAATAAATGACTCTTTACACTATATTCTCTGAGAGGATAAAATTACATATATACTGGCTGCAAAACATTTGCACACCATTAGAAATGATCAATCAACTAATTTCATCTTATTTCATCCGCTTTTCTGGGGCCGGGTCGCAGGGGTAGCAGTTTAAGGAGAGAACCCCAGACTTCCCTCCCCCCAGACACTTCCTCCAGCTCCTCCGGGGATCCCAAGGTGTTTCCAGGCCAGCGGAGAGACAAAGTCCCTCCAGTGTGTCTTGGGTCTTCCTTAAGGCCTCCTCCCGGTGGGACACGCTTGGGAGCGCCATGGCCTCTGATTTGGAGGTGTTGATTCTCATCCCAGCCAACTAATCAACTAATTTGCCTTATTTAAATAATCTACATTTTTATTCTTGTAATTATAATATTTTTTAGCACTGTTTTAATTCCTTTTTCTGTTATTTATGTACTTAATTTGATTATGCTAATATATAACATACTTTATACATATCTAAAATGCTTTGACATAACAATAAAAAATGTCATGCGAATAAAGCAACTTGAACTTGAGGGAGAAAGAGAGAAAGAGATCCCTCTTTCCCTGTCAATGGGTGCACATGGCTCCTAAATAGCATAAAAGCAAGATAAATAGTGGATTTCTTTTTTTTATTTAAACAGCCTTTAAAAAAATCAGTGTAACCCATAATAGGTAAAAATATATATTTTTTTATATTTAATAATATTTTAAAATCACATTTTTATTTTTTTGTTTGTCGCATGCAAGTGGCTACAGCAAACACGGCAGCAGAGGGAACATATTGAAGTGTTAACGTCTATAGTTGACCATTTATGTGCTGTGGGTAAAAGGTGCGTTTCAATCTGGCTGCCGCCACAAGTATATTTCAAACCTGTAGGAAGCACTGAAATACATTTAAACAATATGTAATAAAAATAAATATGCAAACATTTTTTTATATGTAATGTAAGAGCAGCAGAGCAAACCCATGGTTATAGACACAGCAGGTTAAAAAACACAACTCAAGCACAATAAACAGCTCACCGCAGTTGCAGCAAATCCAAGCCCTCTCTATCACCGAGCATGCAGGGCATCCAAGGATATTGTATTCAAAATGCTCTGTACCTCAGTACTGACCTTCCAAGCCCAAACTCGAAAAATGATCTTCTAGTAGACTTTCAGAGCTGACTAATGATTCAGAGTCCATGTTCTCAGCATCAGAGCTGTCCCGGTCAAACTCAGGCAGTGTGTAGGCCAAAATATTCCTAAATCACAACATTCTTAACATCAGTACCAACTAATTCAGTGTTTCAGAGAACATTACAGAGGAACAAATGAAATCAAAATGTAAAATTAAAGGATTTCACTAGTTTTTTTGTTCTGCAGGAAAAGCAATTAAGGAAACAAAAAAAAGTTAAACGTGTAACTCACTTCTCATTCTTGATAGACTTGATCCGCTTAAGTAGGTTCTTTTCAATTTCAAGCCCAGCTCTGTCCTTCGACGAAGCATTTGAATCTGATTTCGGCGGTTCAAATATCTGCTGGAAAGTGTAAAATCAGAGTTACGAGATGCATTTTGCAAGCTTTACTTCTAAACAAGCTAAACTAGATTAGAATGAAATAAAAATACTAGCACCACCTGTGGCTGATTAGTGAACTGCAGCTTAAAGGGACAGTTCACCCAAAAATGATCTATTCCAAACCCAAGTTTCTTTCTTCTGTTGAGCATGAATGAAGATATACTGAAGAATGTTAGAAAAAAGCAGCCATTGTATTTTTTTGTTCCTTGGATGTCAATGGCTGCAATTTCCCAACAATCATACGAATATCTTGTTTCATATTCAAAAGAAAATAGAAATCAATAAAAGTTTAGAACCACCTCAATGTGAGTACGTTTTCATAAATGGGTTTAACTATGCCTTTAATGCTTTAATATTTGAACATATTGTATCCACTTGCGCCATTAGGGACAGTGTGACAGGGTATCTAAAATACCCAGAACGAGTCTATATAACAGACAATAAGTTATGAAAATATTGAAAGCATATCTTTGAGTGGTTTACTGCTTTTATAAAAACACTGCCACACAAAATATTTTATTATACCCAATTTTATTAACCACACTCATTAAGTGTTATTATTATAATGAAAGATTAAATTCCTGACATAAAGTTTGTTTATAATGACATTCTCAAACTAAAAAAAAAAAAAATTATATTCTTCCTAAATTTCTTTTCCCAAGTATTCCAATATTCATACGAAAGTTATTTTAGATCTTTAGATCAAGTAATTTCTGTTTTTATTTTTTTGAAACAGTGGCTTAATAAGAATGCATAAATAATTTCTATAACAACTCAGACTCAAGATTAGATGGTTTTGCACTTTCTTCTTAGTCTACTATTGGGAAACTAACATTCAAAGTATTTTATATTGGAGCCAGTCAAACTATGGACACTGCCTTTGGGCTCCTGCATAGGTCGAAATCGAATGCAATTCTTGCATCCAAGTAACTTTGCATGCTTTACTATGTTCTTAATTACCATTAAAGACGTCAAACTACTTCTCTAACCCTTGATACTTGATGTAGTACTTGATACATTAAGAATTAGGTTACAATTCAAAAAACATTTAGATTTTCAAACAATGTCAAGCCAGTATCCTATATTTAAAATTCCTTTTTTACTGTTCTCCATCTCAGACCAATCTTTGTGTTATGGTTTAGGCGGGACATTGTAAGTATCAATGATATTTTTTGTGATGACACGTTTGTTACATTTTCTTATTTATAAGAAAAAATTTAACTGTGCTAAAACTCATTTTTTGACTCCCCATGCACCTCACAAACAAGGAATTGATCAGGTTTTAGACACAAAACTCTGTAAAGGTACAAGGTAAAATTTATAAAACAATTAGTCGTTTATTAGAAAGTTGAGTTCCTTATCCTTTTTAAAAATAAAGCAGAGCTGGAAATCAGACGAGGAATGGTTCAAGGCCCCGTCTCGTGTACAAACCTCTTATATTTGTGCTTGTTATTCCCTAATTCAAGTTGTTACATAGAGTATATTGGACCAAGGCAAAAATACCTAAAATTAAATCTGGTTTTTGATCCAATCTACGACAACAAGCTCCAAGTTTTTCTTATTTTCCAGCATTAAGCACTTTTTGGGCATCAATTTTTAAATTATTTTCTGAATGTTTTCTTTTAGATATTGAGCCATGCCCTCTAGTAGCCTTAACCAAGTAAAGCCTTACATGTTACTTTTATCTATAATGTTATTTATCTGTCATATTATTATTATTTTTTGTGTGTGTTTTGTGTTTATTTTTTGGTTCTTGGTGTAAGAATATATAATTGTATTGTTTAATTTAGAGAGAAAGAAAAATGTGAACTAATTAACAGATATATTGGAACAGACAATGTTTTGTGATTCTTTGTATTTATTAAAGTAACTCTCTGACTAAAATGCATCAATAAAAGAGAGTTAAACTATAAGGGCATTCTAACATGCTTATTTGGTGCTCAAGTAACATGGTGCATTGTGATCAATGCATTTTTGTTTTCAGGAATTTTTGGCCAATTGCAAGCTTAAAAGAACAGCATTTACTTTAATATTTCTTTATCTAGCATCTTTATTTGGATTCCTTCATAAACATTCAATAAAATCAAAGGAGAAATGAACAGCAGTTTATTTTGAAACCTATTATCTGAGGCTTCTCTTACCGTGTTCTGTCTCCTGAGCTGGAGCTCTTTAACAGCCATTGCTTCAGCACTTTCCAGCTGCTGAATTTCTTCCATTTTCTGATTATAGCGCCTTATTTGCTCCTTAATCAGAATTTCCACACATCTGTACACAAATGTTAACCATGAGAAAATACATGAGGCCACAAAGTTCAAATGTAGTCAAAGAAAGTTTTGCCACATATGCCTTAAACAGTAACATTAACTCTTTTTAGACTCATTGCACCATTAACCACAAGAAACCACAAAAAGAAAACAAGCTAGTCGTAAAAAAGGCAAATAAACGGAAATGATGCTCACAGGGTGGTCTTGTTAATATCTTTCATACTGAGGAGAGGGTCAGATGAATCTGGGCAGCGCAGAATACAGGGTGCGAACACGATAGCCAAAGAGTCAGCTGACATTCGATTGTGCTCTTCCTCTTTTGCCACTCTAAATAGAAAAAAGAAATTAGGCGATGCACAAGATGTCTAATATCATTGCCAGTCATGCAATAATTACTTCACAAGATGAAAAATAAGCCTCTCGAGAGTAGAGATGTTTGAGGAAGGTAGTTCTTCTAATTTTCGATAAACAGCGCGCAACCGCTCAGATGTTTCTGGCAAATCTGGAATGGAAAGAATAGGTTTAGCTTGTAACATAACATGTGTGGCATACATATTTAGTCCTCACGTCCAAAAGTGCATGTGGTCAAGACCTACCCACAGCATACAGGAAGTCATTGTAGAGGCTGTATGTCATAAGTGGGTCGGGTAATTCCCGTAACCACTGTTTGACCAGGCCAGTGACGGTGTGGATGGGGTAAGTGTCAAGACTGACAGTGTGTGGATCTGAGGGGGGGGGGAAACAAAAGCTTTAATGCAAAAAGTGCAACTGTTATGCTATTTTCTACATTTTGGAGGAGATCTCCTATAGTACAAAATATTTACATTTATTGAAAATTCTAAACTCTGTAATTACTTTCTTTTTATTTCAGCATCAATGCTGTGCTTTTGCTTAAATGATGACAGAATCTACATTATATAAAGCTCATCTCTATAAAGCAATAATGACGACTGTCCTGAGCATTTATTTAAACCTTGGTCAATCAAGATGTTCATTCCTATCTTTATTCAGTTAAATAGAAATTTAGTTGCCCTGAAAAGATTGCAATTAGTCCAAAACGCGACTGCCAAACTTCTGACAGGAACTTGCAAGCATGAACACATATCCCCAGTTCTTTCCTCTCTGGTGTAGATCACAGATTGATTTTAAATGATTAAATTTTGTTTATAAATCCTTAAATGGTCTGGCACCATCTTACTTATCAGATCTCCTATATGTATGTATATATCCAGGGTAGGTCACTATGGTCTTCTGATCAGTTTATTCTTACTGTACCAAGCTCCCGGTGTAAGTAAAGTTAGGATCAGGCTTTTGCTGTTAAAATACTGGAACAAAATACTGGAACCAGCTTTGACCCCATATTAGACACACTCCAACTTTATCCGTTTTTAAAAAGCTTCTGAAACTGCATTTCTGTTATTTAGCATTTGAGCCTTTTTAATGATGAGGGGTTTGTCCTATGTTTTAATTGTCATGTATATGTTCCGTAGGACTTGTTATTTTAATTGGTATTCATTATGTTCAGCACTTTGGGCAATGTTGTGTTGTAAAAAATGTGCTATATAAATAAACTAACTAACCAAGTTTGAGGAAAACATTTTGGATTTTACTTCATTTAGTGGACTTCTTTCTTGATGAACTTCTCAACTGTACTATCAGTGTATTTTCAAGACCAAAATTGAGAAATAAGAGTTTTTTTCCTTAATTAAAATGATAATTTATATACTTTTTAATTGAAAAGCTTACATTTCAGAGATGATCTTTTGTGGTTAAAGTGATAGTAGTTCTCTCTACTCTTTATTCTCCCTCAAGTGGTTACAAACCTTAATGAGTTTCTTTCTTCTGCTAAACGGATAACAAGATATTTTAATGAAAGCTGAAAACCATTGGCTTGCATAGTAAGAAAAACAAATTCAATCCAACCCAATTCCATTCAATTGAATTGAATTCAATTCGATTTATTTAATTTCAATTCAATTCAATTCAATTTAACTTAATTTAATTTAATTCAATTCACCTTTATTTGTTTTGCGCTTTTACAATGTAGATTGTGACAAATAGTGTCAGTTCAGTTTAGCTGAGTTCAGTGTGGTTTAATAGTCACTACTGAGAGTTCAAACACTGAAGTGGCTCTCCATCGATGCGCAGCTCTACAGATCCTGAACCATGCAAACCAGTGGCGACAGCGGCAAGGAAAAAAAACTTCACCAAATAGCGAAAGTGAAGAATTAAAAAACCTCGAGAGAACCAGGCTCAAATACTATGGAAGTCAATAGTAACAGGTTTTCACCTATCTTTCTTTTGTGTTCAGGTTTGAAACAAGTAAAGGCTGCATAAATAATGACAATTTTCAATCATAAGCTATGTTTGCTTTATAACTATATTTTCAGCTGTATTACACACTACATGAAAGGTAACATCTAAAAAAGCATACAGTAATTAAAATAGACATGTCAAAAGTAGCACAAGCACGTGGCAACGGTCATAAAATGTTTTATTTTGAGAACCCTCTAATTGCTGATAGTGAAGACTGATCAGATCTCACTTTTACCTTTCTCTAGTTTTTGGTGAAGCTCTTTGGCTCGGCATGCGGCGCCAGACTTGCGGTAGATGCCCTCTGTGTACAGTCCATTCATTTCAACATGTACTAGCATCTGCTCTAAGACGAAGGGCACAGAGTCTGCTGCGTGGACCAGGGCACAGAGAGGAACGCCAAAGTGGAGGGTGTGCTCACCTTCTTTCTGAATGACGAAAATGTACAAATACACTGTAATTATTTACCACATCTTTTATTACAGAGATTAATCTTTTGTAACTGGTCGTATTATTCTATCAGTATGGTTGAGTACACATTGTCAGAATGTTTGCTATACGCAGTTGAAGTCAACATTATTAGCCCTCCTGTGATTTTTTATTGCTTTTTCAAATATTTCCCAAATAATGTTTAACAGAACATTATTTAGGATAATATTTAGGATATTTTATAAAATGACAAGATATTTTAGAACATAATAAGATAACATTATATTTTATGATATAATTATAATATACTAATAATTCAGTAGGACTAATAATAATTATAATAGACTTCAACTGTATGTAATCTATCAATACTATGTAGTGTAATATGGCAGCAGTTCTTACCTTTCTGATATAGTGAGCTGTGCAATTTATAGTTATCTTGCTCAGACACTTCTTATGGCACACCATTTTGCAAGCTAAAACAGAAAATGCACAATTAAGCCTCACAAAATCCTTGTCAGCTTGCACTGGTCAGTGAAAAGGATTGTAAACACTTACAGCTGCACATGAAGGCCTTTTCCATTCCCCATATGTAAGAGGTGCACTGGTCACATGATTGCATAATAGTCACCTGGTATGTGCTAAATAAGTGTCCCAGTGGGCTGTCAGGCTTACAGAAAAAAACAACAGAGGAGGTGAGAAGAGGTGCAAATAAATATTCCAAGACTTGACATATATCATAAATATAAATGCACTGCTGTATTGTGAAAATAACTTACATGTGCCTCTCTTTTAGATTTTCTTCTATTTCGTTCTTTAACCTGAAAAACAGACAGAGGCGTTTGTCTTGCGTCCCCAAGATAAATTCAAGAACAACGGACAACTCTGTCAGGATCAAATGTGAATGACATTTCATATTTTCTAAAAATTAAAGATTTATGTAAGGACACAATACATTAATCTAAAGTGACACCAAAGAGAGTCTGGATTTTTACATTACAAAAGAGGCAGATTTAACAATTATAAAAAATATTTATTGCAAAACTTATGCAGATGTTGGAGTATGGTAATGTTATCTATATGCATGCTTGGTCTCAGAGTCTGCACGAATTGGATACTGTTTATCTATCTACTATCTACTACAGTTATCTATATGCATATCTGACAACAAAACTTCAAAGGGCATCATTACAGTTCAAGTTAAGTTACCTTACAAGGCTCTGTACCGGATCAGACTATTACATTTTTTTAAATGGGGTATGCGACTAAAAACTTAATGGCAGCGCAAAATTTTGTGTTCCAATAATTCCATTTTATAAATAACAATTATTTAATATAACATACATGATTTGTTTTAATTGAAACAAAATAAATTAAGCCTTAATAATCAAAATAATAATAAAATAAATAATAATAATAATAGAGACATCATTAAAAATAATCCAACCATCGCTAAACTAGAATGGTGCATAACAAGTAAAAAATAGCAGACTTGAGTGAAATTGCTAAAAATGTTATCAAATCTACAGTATGCTTAAAAGTAATACATTTGGTGGAGTCAAATTAAAATATGATACAAATCTGCGAAAACCCACTAACCTGCAGGCCCAGATTTAACAATAATATGTCTCCTATTCTAAAAAAACTTATCTGTGCAAAACAAAACTTCAAAGGGCATCAATACAGTTCAAGTTGAGTTCAATTACAATGGGGCATATAACCCTAAAAACTGAAGTAATGGCAGCAGAAAATTCTGTGTTAAAATAATTAAAAGAACATATAACATAATTAATGCTTAATTGTATTTTTAAACAATACATGTAGCCTTATTAGTAATAAAAATAATAATAACAGGAAAAAGACGACGAAGAAGAAAAACAATAAAAGCCATCTTTAAATAAGAATCCTACCAACACTAAACTAGCATGATGCATGACAAGTGAAAAATAGCAGACTTGTGTAAAATTTGTAATATATTCATATCTGTTGTTTAAGAGTAATACACTCAGTTAAGTGCAGTTAAAACATGCTACAGATTTAGTGATAATTTGTCTTCCATCTCAAAAACATATCTGAGAACAACAAGACTTTAAAGGGCATCACTACAGTTCAAGTAAAGTTACCTTACAAGGCTCTGCACCAGATCATTTTTTAATGGGGCATATGACCCTAAAAACTGATGTAATGGCATCAGAAAATTCTGTGCAAATAATAAAAAAATTATATAACAATTAATGCTTAATTTTATTTTTAAACAACAAATGTAGCCTTAATAATATTAATAGTAATAATAAAAATAATAATAATAATAATAATAATAATGAGACATCTTTAAAAATAATCCAACTATTGCTAAACTAGAATGATGCATAACAAGTGAAAATAGCAGACTTGTGTGAAATTGCTAAAAATGTGATCAAATCTGTTGCTTAAGAGTAATACACTCATCTAAGTGGTTAAAACATGATACATTTCTGTGGAAATCCACTAATCTGTTGGCCCAGATTTAGTGATAATTTGTCTTCCATCTCAAAAACATATCTGAGAACAACAAGACTTCAAAGGGCATCACTACAGTTCAAGTTTATTTACCTTACAAGGCTCTGCGTCTATTCGTTTAAGCTCGCCCCTGATAAATCCATCCAGAACTGATTGGAAAAGATTCACCACAAGCGGCACCTCGGATGCTTTCTTCTTCCCTGCGAGACTGTCCACCTTTTTCTGGTAACCAGACATCAGGACTTTATAGCCAATACTGGGATTCTTTTGGAGATAGGAAAACAGATTATTACCAACAACTGCTATCAGTGTGAAGATTACCTCCTGAAAATATGAGTGAAAGATGAGAGAAGCATGGAAAAACGTACAGAGATGGAGTACATGCTTTTGATGGTCTCTCTGAACTGCGTGGTGGCTGTGAAGAAGATTTTTTCCGTCTCCGAGAGCTCCTTTGAGCGTGTGCTTAGATCATTCATCTAGATTCAACATCACACCACAGATTGAGTGATATGAGCAATGAACAGAAACTTCACTTCTAACACCCAGGACTGGAACTTCAGCTTTGCCTTTCAGAAAGAACATAAATCACAAACCTGATTTCCAAGGAACTCATCCAGGTGGCGGAGTTCATTGGTGTCAGTGATCTCTCTGTCCAGCGAAGCATTCCACTGCACCTGGGTACGAGTAGCTCGGCTGATTTTAATGGTGGGGTTGCGATGGGCTCCAGGATATGTGCCTGAGTTTTTGGTGCGCGGAGAATTTGAGTGATTTCCACTGGCTTTTGGCCCAAAGAGAAAGACAGAAAAAGAGGTGATATGGTAACATTTAATGTTTACTCAATACTGCATAATTGATAGATACATAAATTATTTAAATATTATTTACATAAACACAGAATGGGCAATCAATCATTTCATCTAGCGCTTCTCTTTCTGCTAGTGTCTTCACAAACTTAAAGAACAGCCTACCATTTCCTAATTTTAAAGGTTGCACTGCTTAGTCCTGTTCAAATTTATCCTAACTAGAGTAAGAAAGTAGTTGTTTAAGCACATTTCATGAGTTTCATATATTATGCAAAAATAAAATGGAGCATTTAACAATGTAACATTGATCAAACTAAGAAATCACTTTCAGATCAGCTCAGTTTTTGATGTTACTCTGCACCTAGTGCTAATTTCTTTCATTAAATGTCTTACCTGATGTAACTGGCAGTTTAACTTTACAGATTTTTTTTAACTGACTTCCCAAAATGATGAATGTTTTTTTTTTAAAGAGGCAGCAGGCTGTCCAGATGAAGGTCAAAGAGACAGGCCTTTCAGCCATAGCAAGAAAACTGGACAGAACCGAAAAATCTAATAGCCTGAAAATCTGTTGGTGCTAAAGTAAGATACCACTACACTCGGTAAAATGTAAAAGAGACTGGGAGAAGAGTGGAAAAGAGTGAGAGAGATTAGTAATGTACTGTGGAAGTACCACATTACATTAGCTCTTAGCAACTCTCACATCCACTGAAGCAAAGCAGAACTTCGCCAGGTCACTTCCTGGAAAAGCTGGGAAAGCTAAGTTGCTGCCGGAAGTGGTGTTAGTGAGGCCAGCAGGGGGTGCTCAACCTGCGGTCTGTGTGGGTCCTAACACCCCAGTATAGCGAAGGGGACTCTATACTGCTCAGTGAGAGCCATCTTTCATTAAACCAAGGTCCTGACTCTCTGTGGTCATTACAAATCCCAAGATGTCCTTTGGCCAAATTTGCCCATTGTCTCTGTCCATCATGGCCTCCTAACTATCCCCATACCATAATTGGCTTCATCACTCTGTCTACTCTCCACCCATCAACTGGTGTTTGGTTTAGTGCAATATAACTGGTGGCAGGTGGATGCTGCACACTGGTGGTGGATGAGGAGATTCCCCCAATGTGTAAAGAGCCTTGAGTGTCCAGTTAATTGCTATATAAATGTAAGGAATTATTAAGTAGATGAGCTAAAATAATTGTAGCATACTGCACCTGAGCTCTTTATACTCATTTCGACTGCTTTAACCTTCAGAAATTTGAGCTGTACTACATTACATTTAACTGTACTATATTATTATTATTTCCCAAAGATGGGTTGCGGCTGGAAGGGCACCCACTGTGTAAAAACGTGCTGGATAACTTGGTGGTTCATTCCGCTGTGGCGACCCAAGATTAATAAAGGGACTGAGCCAAAATGAAAATGAATGAATATTATTGTTATTGATACAAAAATATATTCTTTAATTTTGAGATGCTTTACACTATAGAAAGTAAATCCTGCCAGTTTTAAATAAATCAAATAAACACTGGAAATTAAAATGAAAACCAGATTAACCATTTCATTATAAAATGCTGTTCGCCAAATATCTACCAAAATTAAAAATGAAATTATTCAAGCATAGGCTTTGCATTCAGGTTGATGTTGAAAATTAAATCGAAAATGAAAACTGAAGTAAAAATGTCAATAAAAAGGAAACTTTAATGTACATTTTCATTTGAATTGTTACACTATTATAGCGTGAACATCAACCTCTGAAATTCAAGTGATATTTTGGGGTTTCCACCTGGATTTTGCCTACCTAAACTGAAAACTTCCAAAATCCACATGCAGAGGTGTAAATGCAAAAGTTTGGTATCATTAAAAAAAACAAAAAACACTTTAAATTTTCATAACAAACTGTTGAAAGTGATTAAAATTATTGTATATGTTGTCTGTGTTATAATAAACATCTACAAAAAGAGGCACTTCTTTTTTTTTTGTTAACTGAAATTTGAAAGTATGTTTTAGGTTCTCTGTGGTCTAGACTGCTGATCATAATCTATGCAAAAATTCTATTCTAACTGATCAGAGAATGAAACCACTTATGGGGGTATTGGGTCTGTACAGACCTTAGAAATATATAGAATTCAGAAGTAAATGATGTCACAGACCCAGAACCGGGTATGCAGAGCTTTAAGAAGCTTAGTAAAAATTGTGTTTGCATTTTATTTTTCAGTTTGGCTTTTCATTTTAATATTGGCATTCTTGATGCAGAAATGCAGTGAAAATGAAAAGTTAAGTTGACAACTTTCATTTTTATGATTATCAACTTGACTGGGATGTTGTGCTGTCACAATAAAATTTCTTTTAATTTTTAGTTTGGGCAGATATTTTGTGAAGTGTTTTATGATGAAATTGTTAATGTGGTTTTCATTTTAATTTTCTTCCATAGCACACAAATATTAACAAAAGAAATCCATCCATAATGCTTTACAAAATGAAATTTGTTCAATTCTAGATCAAACCTAAAATGATTAATAAATTGTTAATAACCTAGTTCCTCTTTTTCTGCCAAAGTCTTCACCATAGTAATAGTCCCATCCTGGGGTGTTGAGCGCTTCTTAAAAAACTTTAAGAATCCCTTCCTAGAAAACAAGAACATAATTTTACTAAATGTTGATTACATAATTACAATAAAATACAAAGAAATGCCATTCGCTGTGCTATTCCAGATAAATGCTAAAATAGTAATACAAGTGATCACCTTTCTGGTGTAATGGATGGTGCAATCACTTCCTCACTTGGTGATCTATTGGAGAATGGAAAACACCCATCGGATTCTACAGACGACTGCATCTGTAAGGCCAATTAATTTTTTTAGATACTCAAAATGATGTATATGAAAGGCCAATGTATTTTTTAAGATACTCAAAATGATGATCATGAGACTACAGATAAAACAAAAACATTTCATTGAGCAGAATCCTGAACCTTTGACAATCATTCCAATAAAAACTGCACATACTGTAATGTAATGAGCTTTGACAGCATAATCCCACCATGCATTTAGATCAGCAGACCAAGCACATACAGCTCAAGAAAAAGCAAGACAACATTTAAGCAGATGCAAAACAACAGTTTAAGTGACAACTGTTTAGCCAAGAATGTCCAATAACCATGAAGTTCAGTAATATGGCAGATTGATTGGGCTTATTTCCTTCAATTAGTGCCACCACCGGTATTACATCTCCCACTCAGCATCCCGAAATCCATGTTGACCTTTTTTGCTACGAGTAATGAAATTTTAACAATATTTTCAGACTGCTGTACAAAGTTTGTATTGTTAAACCTGCACAAAATCTGACAAGTATTGTTAAATAAGTAGCTAAAGCTCTTCAGAGCCGAAGTATTCACCATTGTGAAATAATAAATAATACATTTTCAATTCATAAAAGCAGATACTGAGGCTGTTTAAGCTTGAAATCAGTGAGTGTTACATAAACGCACTGTAAAAAATATTTGTAAACAAACAGATTTCTGTATTTGGTGATTCGTGTTTTTTTATTTATTTTTTTAATTCTTTTGAATTGCATCATGGGATCTTGATCTTTCTTCCAGAAGCTTCTGATGTTAAAAATGCACTCCTATTGACATTTTTAATAGTTTGAACTAATATTTTGTCTGTGTTTGTGCTGTAAATTACTGTACAAAAACCTGGTAACAAACTGCCAGTACTTTCACAGTTATTTTACAGACTTGATTCACTCTATATTATTTTTCTAACAATATCTTGTCTCAAACTACTAAAAATGCCAATTAAAGTTACTTTGCTAAGCTGCATTATTGAATTTCATTCATTCGTTTATATCTCTTTGGCTTAGCCCCTGATTTAATAGGGGTCACCACAGCTAAATGAACCGTCAACTACTCTGGCACATACATGTTTTATGCAGCGGATGCCCTTCCAGCCACAACCCAGTAATGGTAAACACCCATACACTCTTACATTCACACACATTCATACACTTCAGCAAATGTAGTTGCCAATTTAGTTCAATTCACCAATAGCGCATGTCTTTGGAGTGTGGGGGAAAGTATTGAATTTTCAACATCAGGTCAACAGAGAAGAATAAATCTCCCATAATGCAACTGTTAATAAACAGGAAACACAATAGCTACATTCAAAATCGCCTACTACTCAGTAGGTAGTGCATTTGAATTTAAATGTACTACTCATCCATTAGAAAAGTACGTTCTATACAGTATGAATGAAACTCGGAAGTACTACATCCACCATTTTATCATGATCACATAACCACGTCAGTTGCGTCGCTTCACTCCCATTCATAAATTCTCTCGTGGTGCATCTAGGATAGTGTAGCGTGCATCGGATGCGCACTTCAGAATCTCACTGGCAGAAGTAGGTCATCCGGGTACTTCTCGCATACTATTTTTCGAATTGTACTACTCGGCTCGCATACTTTTTTTAGCGTACTATATAGTATGGAAGTATGTGATTTCGGACGTAGCCAAAGTAATCCACTTAATACAGAACATGTAAATTAACAGATATTTTTTTACAGTGCAGTTAATATAAAATAGAATGTGGTGTTTAACAGAATGTGTTTTCTAGGGTATTAGTTTTACAATTAGTATTATAAGAGTTGAACTTCTACACTACAAATGGTTGAAGTCAGAAAAGCATTGTTCATTTTCAGAGTCAAAAGCTTAAAACATATCTGCAACCTAACAACCATAAAGCATGATTTTCCATCAATCTATTTACTGCATTTACTTATAACCACAACTAGCGACATCATCAAAGTTTATGTATGGTGTCAATAATACAAAAAAGGTCAGAAACCAGCTTCCAGTCTGAAACATCAAAGAAAAGGACGAGCCTGGTTTCCAAAGAGCAGTCTCCACATTGAGCTAATGCTGATTCTTAGATGTTAGCTGTTGCGAGCAAAAGCAGCTGTTGTGAATGGGTCATCTTTTACCACAGCCTCCACTACCACTTGGGTAATGGACTGGTTGGGAGCAGCGGGGCTTATGGGAGGTAGGGGAAAACTCCAGTACGCAGAGTCACTTAGATCCAAATCATCCACCTTCAGCCCGCTGCGGGGACGCGCAAGCCGACGCTTGTGTTTGAGGCGCTTACGGTTCTCAACCATAACCTATGACATGTGAACTAGTTTAGGTGGAACAAAAGAGTGACTTGTACCTGCTGATCCAGTCCATTAAAATACATATAGCACCTACTGTATGACATTCTCTCAACATACACCAGTGTTCAAAAGCTTTCTATGTTTGTCAAAGGAGCATTTATTTGCTGAAAATAAGTAAATTTTGTCCATGCCATATAAAATTATTAAATGTACGGTGGCTGAGAGAGCTTAAGTTGCAGCAATTTAAGAAAGCACATGAAATAACACCAGCAAATTATGAAACGATCTTTAAGGTTTTATGACAAGCGTGTTGCAAATCCTCACAACGCAAACATTTAAAAAAAAAAAATGCCCTGCAAGTTTTCACAATGCAAACAAATTAAGAAAACCCAATGCAATTTCTCACAACACATGAAAATAGCCTGTAACATAAAAGGACCCAAAAAAATGAAGGACACGGCTGGGATTTGCTTATTGTGTTATTACTATTACTATTGATTAAGTTGTAGGTGATCTTTGAAAGGTAAGTTGAACATCCTGATTACACGATTTGTTTGTTGTACATTATTATCCAAAATAACCATAAGCTAAAAAGCTGTGTCCGTCACATTTTTGGGTGCCCTTGAAACATTTCCACTGAGTTTCATGCTATTTGCATGGATTGTGAGAAATTGGAATGTGTTTTCTTAATTTGTTTGCATTGTGAAAATTTGCAGTACACTTCACTTTCTTAATGTGTTTGCGTTTTGAGGATTATTTGCTTTGTTTTTTGTAATTGCATCAGTTTTCATAAATTGCAGCACATTAAGCTCTCTCAGCCTCTGCATAAATGAGACCTATTATGCTTTTTATAAATTTTAATACAAGAATTTATTCATCACAGAACATATTTGTGAGGTTTTAGTTGAAAACACCCCAGATCATTTATTATATCATGCTGTAGATGTCCAATTTTTTTGTGAAATAATAAAAACATGCTGGTTCTGTGCATGTCTCTTTAAATGCAAATGAGCTCTTGCTCTCTGCTGCCTTGCTCTCTGCTGCCTTTTTACAGACTATGATATGCAATACAATATGCCCAATTTTGGTTTTATCACATCTAACATGCTCATGTAACATTGCAGATCTTCATAATCATGAACGTTTATTAGCAGCAAGCATTTAAAAGCCTTGTTTCCTCAAATAATATTTTCTGAGCATGCACAACCAAGGCACTCACACAGAAAGATAGGTGTCAAATGACACGTTGTGTTATAAAAAACCTAAGGTTTTTTTTAGCATCTTTTTGTCTGCAAACTATCAAATACACACAAGGTTACATCTGAAACAGCAGATTTGTGGGGACTGCATTAAAAGTCTAGTGGATTTTAACTATTTAACCACACTACAGACATAAAGTTGAAGTCAGAATTAATACCCCCCCCCCCCCCCCCAACCCCCCGGAATTATTAGCCCCCAATTATTTTTTCCCCAATGTCTGTTTAACAAAGAGAAGATTCTTTCAACACATTTTTAAACATAATAGTTTTAATAACTCATTTCTAATAACTGATTTATATTTTATCTTTGCCATGATGACCAGGGCCGGAGCAAGCTGAACTGCAGCTCTAGGCAGAGGATGATCATGCCGCCCTCAACCCCAATGTGAAAACAAAAGTGACCGGTTATGAAAATGAAGTGAGGTGTCGCGGACGCGCGGGTGCTGAGGGAGGGAGGGAGGTGTCGCGGACACTGCGCTCTCTATTCTGCCGCCCTATGCGCGGATATAACTGAGGACACGCGGGTGCTGATGATGGTGTCGTTGACGTCGCCCTCTCTATTCTGTCGCCTATGCGCGAATATATCTGAAGACGCGGGTGGTGAGAGAGGTGTCGCGGACATAACTGAGGACACGGGTGGTAAGGGAGTTGTCGCGGATGCCGCCCTCTCTATACTGCCGCCCTAGGCGGCCGCCTAGGTCGCCTCTATGGATGTGCCGGCCCTGATGATGACAGTAAATAATATTTTACTAGATATTTTGAAAACACTTCTATACAGCTTAAAGTGACATTTAAAGGCTTAACTAGGTTAATTAGGCAGGTTAGGGTAAATAGGCAAGATATTGTAGCACAATGGTTTGTTTTGTAAACTAACAAAAAAGATTTTAGCTTAAAGGATCTAATAATTTTGTCCTCAAAATGGTGTTTAAATAATTAATAACTGATTTTATTCTAGCCAAAATAAAACAAATACAACTTTCTCCAGAAGAAAAAATATTATCAGACATACTGTGAAAACTGCCTTTTGACTCTTTTAAACATCATTTGGAAAATATTTAAAAAAAAGAAAAAAAAAACCTAAGAGGGGCTAATAATTCTGACTTCTGTACATTAACGTTCAATTAAAAGAAATGTTTCCATGTTAAAAACAAATATTCACATAATGGCACCAAACGTTTGAACAGTATATTATACGTTTACACATGTTTGTTTTTCCGCATAAAATATGAAAGTAAATTATTTTTGAAGTAGTCACAACATTTTTGATTTGACAAACAAACATTACAAACTTTTTGACAAACAAACATTACAAACTTTTAAAGAGTACCTCATTCCTGGATGATGAGGCTGAGCTGTCGGACTCTGAAGAGCTCATCCTAGACACATTATCCAGAGACAGAGAAATACCAGGTTTTCTAAAATATAGAAAACAGTAGCAAATAAATATGAGAAAATCACCCAGTCATTATTGCAAAATAAACTCTGGCAAAGTGAAAATTTATAACCAAATGACTAAACACAGTTACATGGATGTTTAAAAAAAATTAAATATTGATGGTATTTTTAGGAACAAGAGTCAAATATATAGTTTATACAAAATTAATCACAAAAAAATGAACATAAAAGAAAGTCTATTCTACATAAATGAACATATAAGAACATTTTATATATTCTATGTACAAATGAACATAAAAAGTCTATTCTATATAAATACTGATAGTTTTTCCAGGAATAACAGACACATATTTCATTTAAAAACATAGTTCACATAAAAATAAATTAGAAAAAAAGAAGTCTATTCTAAAACATGACCTAAAGTGAATTCTTACAAGAAACCTATTTTCTCATGGCTTCGTGGCTTTATCTCATCGATGTTCCCCATACGAGCGGCATCACTGCTCCTCTCCTTCCACTTCTCTGGCTTCTCTGTCAGCCTGTTTGACTTGTTTTGCCGCTGTAGCTGAACAGTATGTTGACTATCATTATAGGCGCTTTGGCTCATGTTCAGTGGTAGAGACACAGGCCGAGGGAGGCCTGAAGGAGACGGATGTCTTTCTTTATTGCCAACCATTCCTCGATTACTCCGACCCAGTCGGTCCTCTTTAACGCTAAGTTGCTTTGTGATTCCCGGAGTAGGTTGTGTTGGGATTTTAGGTTTGGTGTCTGTGTTTAACTGTGGTCTCGGTTCATCAGTTTTCTTTGATTCAGCTGTGCGGGATTCATTAGGCAGTGAAGGCAGTGGTTTGGGCTGGCTGGGCTTCTTCTCCTCAATCTTGTTCAGATCTCTCTGAAATCTAAAAAGGACAAACAAATTACTAAGACTTTTGAACAAAACCTGAACAAAAACAAACCAAAGATAACCTTGACATACGCCTGTGCTTTGAGTTTTTCTTGCTCTGCTCTCTGCCTGGACTTTCGCCATGCAATCTGAATCACAATAGCAGCTCTGCATCTGTACGTCTCACGCACATAACGCCATGATCGCTGTGGAATGAGAGGAGGAAAAAATGGCTCGATTATCATTTATTTAGCTTCCCAAACATATTTGCAATACATTTGAGTGTGAAGATGGTCACAAATAAATTATAAATACTGTAAAAGTGTTACATAATATATGCAGTATAAAGTGCAGGACAAAGTACAAATATTTTTTTCCACTTGAATCTCAATATCGAATACAGTTGTGCTGCTATATATTTTGTGAAATCCATGGCATTATCATAAAGTATACTAATATGACTTTTTTGTAAGAAGCATATTGAAAACAACTTTGTTTTTAATATTTTTTTTCATCAGATACATTAGATTGATAAAAAGTGACAGTAAATGCATTTAAAATATACGTATAATGTAATGTTTATTTCAAATAAATGATCTTAATGTGACATTTCAACTAATTAAAAAAAGTTTTTAAAAAATCTAATTTGCAATAATATTGTCAGTTTACTTAAAAACACAAAGCAGATTTTTTTTATTTCACAACTATTATTTGTGATTTAGCACTAATTATAGCTAATCATAATAGAATGGCAAATTAGCACATTAGAAAGATCACTTTTTTGAAACTGAACAAATAAACATCCTTGGTAAGCAGAAAACACATACACTACCTGAAAAAAGTCTCGTCACCTATCCAAGTGGAACAACAAATACCAACTTGACATTTAGATTATCATTTGGTATCAGAAGTGGCTTATATGAAAGACAAAGGCCTCTAGTTTACGCTTGTTTTACCACAATAAAATATGATCATGCATTGATTTTTAATTATTTAATTAGGACAATAAGGTCTGACTTTGCTTAGACAAAAGTCTTGTCACTTAACAGAAATAATGACAGATGTATGACTCCCATGAGCATCCATACATCTCTGCAATGACTCAAATAACTTCATAATAAAGTCATCTGGAATGGCAAAGAAAGCATTCTTGCAGGAGTTCATCAAGATTCTTTGGACTCGTCTTTAATGCCTCCTCCATTTTACTCCAGACATGCTCAATCATGTTCATCTCTGGGTGACTGGGCTGGCCAATCCTTGAGCACCTTGATCTTCTTTACTTTGAGGAACTTTGATGTGGAGGCTAAAGTATGAGAAGGAGCGCTATCCTGCTGAAGAATTTGCCCTCTCCTGTGGTTTGTAATGTAATGAGCAGCACAAACGTCTTGATACCTTAGGCTATTGATGTTGCCATCCACTCTGCAGATCTCTTACACGCCCCCACACTGAATGTAACCCCAAACCATGATTTTTCTTTCACCAATTTTGACTGATTTCTATGAGAATCTTGGGTCCATGCGGGCTCCAATAGGTCTTGTGCAGCATTTGAGAGGATTGAGATGCAGTTCAACAGATGATTCATCAAAAAAATCTACCATTTGCCACTTTTCCAAATGATCAACTAGAAATCAAGTTTTGTTTGTTGCTCAGGCAACTGGGATCAACACAAAGACTTTTGTCAGGGGGTATATTACTGTATGTTTTCACTCATTACAAACTTGTGAAAATACATTATTTTATGCATTCATGTGGGCCTACATTGCTTAAAACTCGTAATAGGTAGCAAGTAAATAAGTGTATGTCATAAGGTTTCAATTGGTAAAAAAAGACCTGCCTCAAAAAATAATCAGAACCCAGAAGTAACTGCTGATATTCTGAAACCATGATGGTGTAAAGTCCCTGCCGGAGAAAACAAATCATTACCTGTATTGTTATAATTCCTTTCCTCCCACGTAGATACTGTTTCCTCATCAAACAGGCTCGAAACCATCTCTGGAGAATTATAATGCGCCGCATGACTTCTTTATGAAGAGTTTCCTGAAGTATTTGTCTCTCTGACTCTTTCAGGAACACCTGTGCACATTGTTTAAGAGTCAATTGTGGAAATACGATACGCTCAACAAATTGTTTCTTCAGTAAAATGTGTTACTGAAACAAACCTTGGTCTGGCCAATCTGAAAACTGGAGCCGGGTAATCCCATTTTAGTCAGCAGGTTAGTAATGTCCTCCTGAGGTGTTGATATTTCCTTTGGCAGCAGCACTCTAAACTGATCAATAAACTCCTGCAGAGACAGTGTAAGATTGCCTTCAACAACAAAATGAACATGCAAGAAAAATGACAGAAGAAAGAACGTAGCGGTTAAAAGCATCGGACCGATGCGATGTGAATTGCTCAGGTTTTGCATATATTCAAGACTACAGACTTTTACATTTATTTATTTACCAGACACTCTTATCCAAAGCAACTTTCAAATGAGGATGAAAGGAAATAGGAGCAATATATAGATGCCATGATGAGTCCAGAAGAGTTGAGTAGCTTTTTACACACACACACACACACACACACACACACACACACACACACACACACACACACACACACACACACACACACACACACACACACACACACACACACACACACACACACACACACACACACACACGTTTGTTTGTTTGTTTGTTTGTTTGTTTTTGTGAAAAGTGGGTACTTTACATAGACTTCCATTCATTTTATACAGCCCAAACCGTATATTATATTGCCCTCACCCTCCCACCCCTAAACCCAACCATCACAGGAGTCAGTGTGCAGCTTTACTCTGATTAAACTCATCCTTTGGGATTTAAGCTTTTTGAAAAAATGAGGACGTCACCAATGTCCCCATACTTCACCTCCTTTTTGTAACACCTGTGTCATACCCATGTCATTATACAGATTTGTGTCCTGATATGTCACAAAAACACGTGTACACACACACACATCTACCTTTTAGTAGGGCTGCACAATATTGGAGAAACCTAACATTGCGATATTTTGTTATTTTGCGATATGAATACAATTTCAACAGATGCCTTGAATATCACTATTTGTAAAGAAGTTCTATTTTTAGATTGATAGGTATGATTGATGATTGTGTAGTGGGAATGCATCAGCATAACATCTAATAAACAATCTACAAGCACATATATATATATATATATATATATATATATATATATATATATATATATATATATATATATATATATATATATATATATACACACAATCAAGAAAAATATACATTAGAAATAAACAGTGATTTCATATTTTCAGAGTCTAACAGTATTCAGGAACATAAATTGAATTATACAAATAAAATCATTATTAAAGTAAACAAATAGTACAATTTCATATTCCTGAATATTTTAGAATCGTACAGTATACAGTCACAGGCCTCAAAAAGACATGCAAATGATAAACTAGATTATAAGCTTAACATTGGATATCCAGTGATGTGACTAATGTGAATGATCACATTGCAATATTGATGCTGAAATGATAGATTGTGCAGCCCTACATTTCATACACACATATATACATACATTTACAGTGCTCAACATAAATGAGTACACCCCCACAGATCTCTCTTTTATCTTTTATCTCTTATTATTTTTACAGGATGCTTTACAATAATTTATCTGTGTATATACAATAAATGTATGCTATAATAAAACAGTAGATGGATGGATGGATGGATGGATGGATGGATGGATGGATGGATGGATGGATAGATGGATAGATGGATAGATGGATAGATGGATAGATGGATAGATAGATAGATAGATAGATAGAAGGATGGATGGATGGATAGATGGATAGATAGATGGATAGACGGATAGACAGATAGACGGATAGAGGGATAGACAGACGGATAGATAAAAACTGTTTGAAAAAAGATAGATAGACAGACAGACACTCCCCCAGACACACATATACATACACAAATGAATCCCTAACACTAACATTACAGTACAGAATGTCTCTTCCAACAGTATCTAGAACAGTACAAACATTTGTTTCATGTTTTAAAGCAATAATCTTTAAAAATATTAACATTTACTGAGTCATATTAAAGATGAAAGTAGTAATATTACTTTATAGATAAGTACCTTTATGACTAGACATAAAACAAAAATCAATATGCATATCCTAAGAAAAACTACTTATTAATCTCTGCTCTTTTTTATTAAATTACTCCTCAAACTCAGGCATCATTAGTCATTACATTAATCATTTACAAATATTTGAAAAAAAATTATTACTTTATTCCATTCAATTATTAGCCCTAATGAAATGTTACACATTTTAAAAAGTATTTCAGTACATTACCCTAAAGGTGAATTTGGCTCCATATCCAGACCTTCTAATCCGAACGGTTTGTAACATGCCGGTGTATCTCAGTTGCTGAAGAACTAGAGCATCATCAAAGTGCATTTCCCTCTGTAAACACATCCACCAACATGTATGCATCAACATTTATCACCCAAAACATAAACAGATTCCACAGATTTGTTACAAATCTTCAAACGAAAGCTCTCCGCCATACCTTATCCCCATTTGATCTGATACAGCGAACAAAGAAAGGTTCTGCTTTCCTCAAGGTTTCCAACAACTTGCTTAGGGATGCCTGAACAGACCAAGACATAAAAGCATGTGACTCATTGATTTGTCCATCAGCATCCATTAAACCCCTGCAAATCATATCAAAACCTCCCCACAGCTTAGGGGGTCTGAGCCTTTTATCTCATTTACAACTACCACAAAACAGGCTTTCACAGAGCCGGAGCAAACTGATCCCTGAAACCTCAGATGCTGGAGATTACTCCATGCATTTTTTTTTCCACGCTAAGATGATAATATTGAACCTGGAATTGAGCGCTGATGCTAGGTGGTTTCTTCTTGGTGTGCAGATGGAGCAGGGATCTGGTCACGCGGTTGTGCTGTGTCAGGGCCATGATGAACTTCAGAGAGTGTGAGTCGATGAGATTCTGTAGAGGACAGTAAAGCTTAGTGTTATTACTCGCATTTTTGAATATAACCAATTAACCCTTTTTGTGAGGTTAGGGATGTTTTCATCCACTTGGAGGTGATTTTGAGTCACAATTTGGACACAACCTTCTCCGTGTTTAGCAAATGGAATAATTTTTGGTGACATTCTTTTGACACATATTTTGGGGAAATTACTTTGAAATTTTTCAAAAATTCAAAAATTCGCTCTAAGCAAATTCACAACCTTTTCGTTATGTTTGTAGCTGCTTTTGCTCCGTTGACTTCCTTTATATTGACATTTGATTGCAATGCCATGACCATGTAACCATCAGTTACAGTTCAAACAAGCTTAGTCTCTCCCTTCTATATGGAGTATAGTGTGTGTGTGTGTGTGTGTGTGTGTGTGTGTGTGTGTGTGTGTGTGTGTGTGTGTGTGTGTGTGTGTGTGAGAGAGAAATTGCACAATTTTTTTTACACCAAGTGGTGCTTGACCATGTACAACTCACACATGCCTACTTCAATAGATGATGATGATGTAGTGTGTGCATGATGGTCATATATAGAAGTAGATTTAAAAGTAGATTCAGCTCATCATCTCTGCCGTTATACGCAATGGTAATGTGGTGACTGTTTTTAGTATTGCTTCCTGTAGTTAATAATTGACTGTGTTTTGTATTTGAACTCCTGTGTAAAGTTAGCAAACTGCTCGTCTTTACATTTAATGTGTAATAAAAGCAAGAAAATGATTAAATAGGACATTATACCGGAAACATACATTTTTATGTATATAAAATGTGACAGTCCTCAAAAAATGTGATAAAATGTGACAGTCCTCAAAATATCATACAAAACAAGCTAAAATTATGCTATTCAATGATAGAACGCATCCTTGATCACTGTCAGCTTTTCCATTAAATGAGGTCACTTCCGAGTCACAGCCTTATAGGTGTGTTGAACACATCTTATGTTAAATTGAATACAAATGTGACAGGACTACTAACAGAAACATGGGGACAATTGTTAATGCATTTGTATTATATATCTGTAGTATTTATTTGTGGAATTGTAATTTCATGTTTTTAATCAAATGATGTGAATGATAACAACTTAAACTTGCTTAAAGGTTTTTTTCTTCTAAATTACATTTTTTTTAGCAGAACAAAACTGTTAAAGCTGAAGATTCCAATGGGCTGAGAGCAAGGACAATGACAGTGTTTGTACATTTGTAAAGTGTTTTTACCATCAGTCCATTTTAGAAATGTTTCAGATAAAACACTTTTTATTGACTATGTTTGTGTTTTTTTCAGGGACAGATAATGTATGATTTTGACAGAATGTCCCAAATGAGTAAATTCATGAATACATAATTAAAGGAACAATACAGTACGACTCATAAGTAGATTCAGAACAATGGCAGATTTAGCTCTTCCCTTGTGAGAGGCTCTGAAAATGGTGTGCATTTTTATACATTTCTATTTTCATTCATTTATACATTTACTGTTCATTTAATAACTGTCTATGGTTTGAGACACTTTACATATAATAATTACTGTGCATAGATTATTATTTGCTCGTATGATATGCACAGGCTGTTAAAACAGAAATATTTAGGAATGTTCCCTTCTGTAAGTCATAAGTACCAAATGAGGCTTTTCAATTTTCTTCTTTTTAATGCAAGAAAATGTATACTTTTACAATGGATCTCAGATGAGGCTCCCTCTGTTAGGATGTGGCACCGAACTATTCTTGAATATGTGTCGTTAGATTACCTGACCTGTATTGTACATTATAAAAATGGAGTTTTTCATAAAATCTTTGAACCTTTACTGGCATATACGGATTTTGATATTGCTTCTATCCTGACAAGAGGATTTATTTAAGAATGTCATGGTTGGCTTTATTGACTGTTTCACACTTACTATTAATACTTCAATATTTTTTTAATTTTCCAGACCTACTGAATTCCCATGTATGTATATGGGCACCTGTAAAGCCCTATTTGTGTTTGTAAGCTGAACTGTACCTTCCTGTTTGTTTTTTTGTCATTTGTTTAACTGTTGTTGTCATTGGATCATCATTATTTTGCAAGTATGCTGTTTTATTTATTTATTATTATTTGTTTATATGTATATAAAAGCAAAAATGTAATTAATAATAAATTTATATATATATATATATATATATATATATATATATATATATATATATATATATATATATATATATATATATATATATGTTTTTATCTTTACATACAAAAAACAGAAATATTTCTAATATTTCTAATATTTTAACAGGACAGAATCATTATTTATCACTGATCATAAAATGATTGACAACGATTCACACTTAATGTGATATGCAGTTAAATTATTAAATAAATGTGTACTAACACATTACATTATATTAATTATCAAACAAATATGTGAATAAGCCTAATTAAAATATAATATGTTACAAAATTTATTTAATATGTATATAGCATGTAATATATGTGACCAAAGAACATAAAATCAATCAGAAGTGTATTTTTTTAGAGAATTATTCATAAGCTGAAAATTATATAAATAAGTGTTCCATTAATGTATGGTTTGGATAAGACAATACTTTGCTTAGATAGTTGTATTTTAAAATTTGGAATTAGAAAAAAAAATCTAAATACTGAAAATAAAAAAAACAGTCCAAGTTCAGCTAAACAATACATTTTATTAATAATAAATTAAGTTTTGCAATATTTATGGTAAGAATTTCTGACTACTGTCAAAATATACTTGTATAACCTAAAATATATATACAACACATAACTATTTATATAAAAATAAAACTTCTAAGCAGCTTCATAGAATACGTTTAATTTAAAATTCAGCAGCTAGGATGGTTACCTGCTCGGGTGCTTCTGATCACATAACTCTAATTCTCTTTCACCTGCACTGGCTCCCTGTTCACTATCGTGTTCAATATAAAATCCTACTCTTAACATACAATAAAAAAAAAAAAAGCTCTTTATAACTTGGCATCTCACTACCTTACTGATCTTCTTCATTTTGCGCTCACTGAGATCATCTTCTTCTGAATTGTTATGTGTTCAAACTTTAGGATGAAGTCATTAGGTGTCAGCGCTTTTAGTTGTGCAGCATTAAAGTTATGGAACTCCAATTTTCAATTTTAAATCTCAGATAAAAACATTTTTGTTTAATAGCTTTTAATGATTTGCTGGCTTAATATCCTGCCTATTGCTTTTTACTGTTTGTATTTTTATGATGGGCTTGATATATACTGTAAAGAGTCCTTAAGAGCTTTGAAAGGTGCCTATAAATAAAAGGTATTATTATAAAAAAATATACTGAACACCAATGTTTATTATTAGCTATTCGTTGACTGCTTCAGTATAGTTAACAAACAAAAAAAGAATGATCTGTGCACCTCACATAAAAACAAAACAATGAACAATGCATCGATTTACCTTAGGAATTAGCTGCTTGTGTTTGTTTGGCCTGTTCTTCCTGGAGAGAAATGAGATTAGAAATGACAATGGTGATTTGTAAAGTAGAAAAGGTGCAGAATATGTGATATATATCCATATTAATTTGCACAAGCACAAGCTGAAACAAAGAGCAGTGGTGCCGCCACAGACAGAAGGTCACAGAGCAAGTGGCTGAGAGCACTCACTGAGAGAAGAGACGGTATTTTCTCGAAGAATTTGTGGACAGACGCAGCTTTTGAGGAACTTCAACACCAAACTGCCTAAGGGAGCGGAGGACTTTGGCATGCAATTCCCTGATTCACCCCAACCCAAATCAGAAATGTTAAAAAAGAAAAGATAAACACTAAAAACAAAAAACAAATTAGGATAGTAAGTAGTAAAACAGCTGAAAATGATCAGTCCAAATCACCAATTTAACACAACGAGCATCCAGTAAAAAGAAACGTATTAGTTAGTCTTCATTTAGAGAAGATAAAGTGAGAGAGAAAAAAAAAAAAAACAAGTTAAGGTTTTAATGATTTCCATTTCAGATTTTCAAGCTGATGTAAACTTACTTCTTGCTTTCAAACGTTGCAAAAATGTCCTCAAATGCTTCCAGTGGATCTTCTTCAGATCGATCAAAGGAAAAGTCAATCCTAGACTGGCTGCAGAAATTGAAATTAAAATATAAGCAGCTAAAAATCTAAACTTAAAACACTGATATTGAATAGCTACGGCTGCGATAAAACACAAACAAAAAGTATTATGATTATATCCATAGAGTATCACTTCAATTTAACAACAATGCAGGCAGTGACATATTTAGGCCTGGACAATATGGACGATCTCCCAGGGCAGCATCTTGCTGGCGGCGACATGGGGAGATGGTGTAAAAAAAAAAAAGTGTCCCAGTAAAAATCAGCTGTGCACCAGGAAAAGCTTTGAGATAGGATTTACTTTATGACAGTGTATTAATTTAGGGTGGTAAAGCCAGAATAAAGAAATTAGGGGCCATTCACATTTGGTGTCTTTTGCATACGCAAGATTGTTATTCCTTACTTGCAACCAAAACAACGCTGGTGAAAACAAAATGATGCATGCATGCAGAAAACCATTCCTGCGCACCTTACTTGCACCGCTCCTGCTCCCAGTGTGAATCCCGGTTGTTTCCTTGCACAGTGATAAAATATGCGCAGCTCATGTGCTGTGAATCCGGAGTAATAGCCTTTAATGCAGATATGTAGGCATGCAACAAGTTTTGCATCGACAAAATTAAAGTTTATATAATATGATGATGATGTTACTTTGACTATGAAGCAGAAAGGAGGGATGTCGAGTCAGGGAGGTAACCAAGACTTCATAACATTAAATCTCTGCCATGAGTTGGGTTTAAGGGTCATCATATTTTTTGTGTTCTATAGAATTGTCATAATGAATATTCTTGTAAAAAATTTCTTAGATCTTAGCCTCTCACTCCAGTTTTGTGTCTTTACGTTTTTCCAGTTACATTTACAGAATGATTGCTTTCTGTTATTTATTTAGAATAATAATTGTATAATAATAGTAAAATAATATTTTTTAATTATAATAAACATAAGCAAACTGTTGTATTTATAGAAAATAAATAAATCTATTTAAATGTGTTTATAATAAATATTTATAAATATATAATATAAATATTTATTTAAATATTTGTAAAAAGGGCAGCACGTGGGCGCAGTGGGTAGCAATGTTGCCTCACAGCAAGACGGTTGCTGGTTCAAGCCTCGTCTGGCTCAGTTAGCATTTCTGTGTGAAGTTTGCATGTTCTTCCTATGTTCACGTGAGTTTCCTCCGGGTGCTCCGGTTTCCCCCAAAGACATGTGATATAGGTCCAAAGAAATGTGATATAGGTAAATTAGGTGAGCTAAATTGTCCGTAGTGTATTTTATCTGAATGAGCGTGTATGGGTGTTTCCCAGTGTTGGTTTGCAGCTGGAAGGGCATCCCCTTCGTAAAACATATGCTGGATAAGTTGGTGGTTCATTCCATTGTGGCAACCCCAGATTAATAAAGGGATTAAGTCAAAGAGAAAATGAATGAATGAATATATAAACCATTCCAAATATTAAAAATCTTTTAGGGGTGTCAAAATGAATTGTTTCTGCAGGGCATCGCGATGCGGACGCAGACAATTTGGTATCGGTTCAGTTATAGATCAACCAGTTATTATGTACTGACATCATTTATCCCATATGCACTGTATTGCGGTAGCTTACTATGGCAAGGGAGGCGAGCACGAGTAATTAAAACACTCCAACTAGTTTAAAAATGCACAATTCACTGTGCGTGTTTGCTGGAGAGTCTTTCACTGAGACTGAAGTTACAGCAGAAGCCCCTAATCCCCTGCTGGAAAATAAATAAAAGTAAACTTCATTTCTGTCTCTGTGTCTCTTTCTTTTGCTCACTGTGGCCCTTTGACCCGCTGACGTGAGGTAACTTTTTGTGTCCTCTCGGTTGTTACAGCAATACTAGTGGATCCCGACAGGAGCGTGTCTGCAGAGTGAGTTTTCTCCACTGCATCCATTATGGATCAGCTGTGATCGCTGCTGCCGTTCATCAGTGTCACTCATTGGTGAACAACGGCAGAGCATAAGAGCCAATCATAGCCCTTTCTGTTGAGCGCGTGACCAATCATAGGGGTGTAAGCACTCGCTCGACAAGGCTCAGAAAGCGAGAGGAATTTGTACGTTTGTTTATATGCTATAAATGCTCATGTCTTCTGTGCATGTACTTGAGTTTTTAAAGGTACAATTCATATATCTGTATAAAAACTGTATAAAAGGACAACATTTTATTGCAAACAATATATTTATACTTTTTAATGCAAGAGTTGTTGTGCTGTGAAGTAAAATATAAAAATGCGTATGGAAAGCATCGTCAATGCACCGGGATATCAAATTGAACTGAATCGATGGCATGATAATCATAACCGAACTGTGAGACCAGGGGGTTATATATATATCTTCTTTAGGGAGGGGGGTATGTTTTTGGGGTGGTTTCACCCAGAGTGCCATTTAATCTGGTACCGCCACTGAATGCAGGCTTTACCTTTGGTTATGATGATTTATATTATATTATGAAAGAAAATGTTAAATTTAAATAAAAATAAAATCAAATGTTTTTATATATTTTTACAGTATACTTTTACTAAAGATACATTTTCTTCAAAAAATAATAGCCTGTTTCATGATTGGACATCCCCCGCTAGAACATGCAGGAACTAAGAAATGTAAAATAATAATAATAAAAATAATAATAATAATAATTTATTTTATTTTTAACTTTCACTCAGTAACAAAATCTATCTATTTATCTAATCTAACTTAAACCTGAAATAACTACTGGAGACATATGACATTTATTGCTATATAATTATCAATACTGCTATATAAATATTAATCTGAAAGGATTTATTGTGATACTTCTTTTGGCCATATTGTCAAGTCATACATACACAAAAGCAAATTCAATCCATTTACCTCTTCAGTCTCTGTATTGTAGGAACAGTAGGGCTGGGCCTCCTCGATTCACCAAAAGAGCGTCTGGAGTAGCGCCTGATCTCATCTAATACAAAAACAAACACACTCAACGAAAAAAAAATCGATGATAATATACTTCTGTGTGCTGCAAGTAAAAAGATGTTAGTAGATCACATTACCTGGATGTTTTTCGGCCCAGGTTCGTCCAGCCTTGTTAAACACAGCCAGTGTGCGTATTGTGGCCCTCAGGATCCCCCATCTGAACACAGCCACTGGATTAGCCCCGATCAGCTGCCGTAAGTAACTGCACTCACTACTACGAAGCAAAGCAACAATATCCGGCCTCATGTGGTCCGTGTTTTTCTCTCTGAAGTCCTAGAGGGCAGAAACATCTCAAATGCTGTTTTCCCACCACAGACACATCACTCAGTTCACCACTACTCGCAGTGTTTGCATAAAGGAGGAAAAAAAGTGTAGTTTCAGGGTCTGTTCCATTACCTTTATCTGGTATTTGACCTTGCCAGCAAAATGCAGAATGACAAAAGCTGGTTCACGCACTGGGGTCTGCACAAAGAACGGGTTGTCCTGGTGTTGCTGCTTAAACTTCTCTAGTAAAGTGCTGTCTGTGGCTTGAGGAAAACTAGAGAGAGAGATTAAGGCACAATATTTAAGACTAAAATACCACTGCATACCAACACAAGTGCTGTACTATATATCTAAATGTCAATATATTGTAGCCTAAGTTGAATGTAATGTTTTGGATCAAATGTATAAAAATTGATTTAACTACAATTACAATGTTGCTATTATGTATAATAAACAAAACTATATTTAATTTAGGACTAGGGTTTTCAATGGTTTGAATTCCATAGACCCTCAAATATTACATCCTAAAGAGAAGGACCCCATCCTAAAAAAATTTAAAAGTTATTTATGTAGTTTCTTATGTAAAATGTATCCTATGAAGAATTGTTAAATGTAATCTTAGAGTTTTTGATATTATATTATATTATATGATATTATATTATTTTATATTATATAAATTATATTAAAATATTATATTATATTAAAATATTATGTTATATTAAAATATTATATTATATTATATTAAAATATTATGTTATATTAAAATATTATATTATATTATATTATATTATATTATATTATATTATATTATATTATATTATATTATATTATATTATATTATATTATATTATATTATATTATATTAGCATAAGGTTATGTGTGTCTGAAAGCTTAGGCAACTGACTTTAAGCATATCTAAAGTGCTCTTCCATCACATGGTTAATTGTCCGATGGCAGTTGTAGCAGCCTTTGCTTTTGGACACAGCAACCATTGAACTCCAGTGAAAAAAGTAGTTATGTCACCCCCACCCAAGCAAACGAGTGATGCGCAACACAGAGGCAGCCCATGTTGCCAGGTGTGTGCAAAGCAGTTGATTTGCGGTTCAAATCTAGTCCTGCCTCCAATCTCTAATTCACCCTCACACACCATCATAACATCACAACCCGCAAGACAACTTTTCAACTCAACAAGAAATCTCATCGCAATTTAGTCTCGCGAGATCTCGTATCCCGAGATCTCTTCACACCCCCAATACCTTTCTATTACCAAGTGGAAATAATCTGGCGGAAACACAGTTCTTCATATTTTATCATCCAATAATTTATATTCTTATTGATTACATAAGATCAGAAGAGAATAAGAGAAGCTCAATCAAGATTTGAACATAATACAAATATATATACTGTATATAATATAATGGTTAACAATAAATATTAGTAGAAATCTGTATTAATTATATTATTTGTTTTTATATTGTTTTGATGTAGTTTATATGTATTAGCTTTATTATATAAATATCTATGTATTATCTTCATGAAATGTGCATTTCTACACATTTTTACATTTATTCATTTAGCACACACTTTCATCAACAGTGGCTTACTAAAGCTATGTTCACACTGAATGTTAGTGCTCATATCAGATTTTTTCTCAGATCTGATTTTTTTGCATAGCTGTTCACACTTGTTATAAATGTGGCCAATATCAGATTTGCAGTGTGAACAGCTCATGGTCCGAAACTTATGTGCAAAAGTACAGTTATGGAGAGCACAAAATGTGTAATTATGCACACAATGTGTATCCTGTATTAAGCACATTGTCAGACTATGCTTAATATGATTATTGCTCGTTTCACAAACAACCGTGGTGTATTTCATGAGGTGTAAAGGGTTGTTCTGCTACTAATAATGCAAATTTCAGCATTTGAGTCCTAAAATAAGTCACTTGTGACTGAAAACACTGATCATTTGTAATTTATGACAACCCCGGTGCGTGTATTTCTGACCACTACTGAAGTGAACTCATCAAGGGTTAACGAGCAGTGCAGACTGAACTGTAAAGGCAGAGATGTTATATCTCTGTTGGCAGAGAGTTATTTCATGTTACTTCAATATAAACAACATACACATGCAGAAGTGGGGTTTTGGTGCTTGAGCACCTGTCCTTTTTTTCTCTCTGAGAGAAAGTTCATCCTTAATATGGAAGAACCCCTCCTTAGCACACGGATCCCCTATCCACAACACCCCCGATGCTCTTCAGCTTCACGGTTAACCCGTGCCCCAATCGTTAACCAGATTGGCTAACAAGCACCAGTTTTGCCTTAAAAATTTTCTTTAAAATGAACAACCAACTTTCTGTTGTAAAGTAATTACCCTGTGTGCCATTCTGCTATGCTTCAAAGGAGTAGACGATGTTTGCGTATTATGTAAAAGTCACAGGAAATCCGACATAACCTTTCACACTGTACTTTCACATTGCAGAACATCAGCTCTGTGTCTGATTTAAGACTACATATGAAAGTGGCACAAATCAGATCTGAAAAGATCAGATTTCATGTGGTTTGGGCTATTCACACTGTCATTACCCGAGTAACATGTGGGCAAAAAAATCTGATTCGGGCCACTTTTGGCTGCAGTGTGAACGTAGCCTAATTGGTTTACATAAATCTTTTTATATTATTATTATTTATGATTTTTAAAATCATTTTATTTACACTTTTTTAACCTGTTAGCAATCCCTCGTAACTCCCGGAATTTATACAATATTTGTCTTCATATTTCATGCATCTGTACTGCAAAGATTTATAGCAGTGACCACTTCAAATGTGACACACTGAAAACAGAATGTTCTTTAAGCAGATGGTTTTGCAAGGTTTTTTTTCATAAAAGAATGAGCCCTACTTTATATTAGTTGTCAACTATTTTACTATGTGCTTAGATCAAAATAATAGGTAGTTATTATTGCAAAACACTGTTGTTGGGGGATACGGTTCATGTTAAGTTTAATGAATGGTTAATGCATTATTTAAATAAAATGCAATGTGCAATTTAACTGCATGCATCTACACAACAAGAGCTTTGTATCAAAAATATATTTCAATGTAGTTGCTGACACTTAATGTAAACTACCAGGTAATGAATGAGCAGACTTTCTCCAGCTGTTTTTTTTACATGGTGCATATGCTTTCAACTATGCTAAATATTTAAAAGGCAGTACTTTATGGGTCTGAACTCACTTGCTTTCCTCATCAAGTAGAAAAAACAGTCCAGTGGGCTTCTTGCTGAAGAGACTGATGCAGCCAATGTTGTCAGGGAAGTCAACGGTGTGCCATGTGATTCCCTCTGCCAGATATTCCTCCTAAAACACAACAAAAACAAAAAGCATGAGACAAGTGACCATCCCATCGACCACAATAGGGGAATCACTCTGTGCAAAGTGCAATGAAAATGAAATCTCACTTGTTCCAGTGTAAATATGCGCTGGTTGCAGTAATACTGTAGTTGCTCATTAGCATAATTAATGCAGAACTGTTCAAAGCTGTTGGTCTTGAAATCTTCAAATCCAAATATGTCCAGGACTCCAATTGATAAACACTGTAAGGAAGAATTTCTGAATGAATCAAGGCCTTTTTAAGTTTATTTACAGCACTTTTCAGCAAATAAAACACATTAAATATATCAATACATTTAAAGACAATCAGACCTCTATCTTGACTATAGATTTATAATAAAGAAATAGACATACAGTATAGCGATATTCAATAACTCAATAAATCATGATAATGAACATGCACAATATATAGTTATCATTGACACTTCAAAATACTGTGAATATTTATTCATTATTAAAACTTTTAAGAGTGTTTTTAAAAATATTCAGACTGTATTTGTAGTGGCGTTCTGAAAACAGCTCCAAATGTTTGAAGACTTAATTGATTAATTAATTAGTTTAATATTTCAAATCATGAACATTTTTACAATTAGTCATAATACGTGCTAAAATAATGATTGAATATTCTGTGACTATTTATAGGATTATTGTAAATTAACACTGTGTAATAAGGCATTAATAGTTAACATTAGTTTGAATTTTTAATTAAAGTGATGATGAAAACTATAAAAGCCTTTACTAATCTTTGCTGATAACAAGTTAAAATTGTAGTTGTAATGATGCTATTAAATGGAGAATATACCTAATACAATTATGCTGTTTTTTTTATACACTAAATAGTAGCTGTAATAAATCAGTTTTTTTCTCTCACTGTTGATTTTAATTAATATATTACACTTTTTGGGGGAGTTATTATCCAGTTTATTATATCCAGGGCTTGACATTAACGCCTCAATTTGACTGGTTGAAAATAATTTTTAAATTGTAGTTTTCTTAAAAAACAGAGTTCAACAATAAAAATGGCCCAATGGTGCTGGGCCAGTGTGAGAGATGACACAAATGACTGTGTTCTCGTTAGCAAAAGAAACCAGTGAATAGCTGAATACCAAATGTGAGGATAATCACGGTCACGGTAAGACCATCCTCGTTCACTGACGAGAGCTTCAGTATTGTGTGCACAGGTGATGTGATGCGCACAAGTTTTTAAAAACGTGCGCGCTCACGCTGCTGCTTTTGAAAATGTCTTTTTGTAAGCAGCAGCGGTTGCTGCTTTCACTTTATCCATTCCTTGAACAGATTATTAAAGGATCTAATGTTAACTATGTGCACACGATCATGCTTAGTACCTCACCCGATTTCTTTTGCTTACAGTTATTGTTGTTAATATGTTTTAATTATCATCCATAAAAATAACATGGCTTTAATAAGAGATTAACTCTGCATTTATGAAACATGATTATAATTATTTTTTAAATGGCAATTTAAAAAAAAGTAATAAAAAAAGTCTACTTATACAGCTATAGCCTTCTGGGACCCCGCCCATTGACTTGTTTCCTCTGTAGTGGACATTGTGTTTTCATGGAATTTTTTGAGCTACTCTGTCCTGTTGTACTGTTCAGAGGACATCCTGGGCTTTTTAGTGATATGTCATTTGATTGGCTGGGATGTTAGGAACCCCTTCTTACAATGCATCTAAAATGGCTGGCATAAAAAAAGCACATTTTATGAAAAGGCAAGAGGTATGTAAAATTTAGCTTTTTAAATGTTTTTTTACTATTATTATTACATGTATAATTGTTTATTAAAGTGTCAGGAACAATAAATTCAGCTTTCAAAGCTGTTAACTTGTTTGTGTTTCAAAATATCATCCTTTTTTTAATGTCCACTAAAGTGGACACTAAGACCATCTTAATGTAATTAATGACTGCATGTTGTAGGAGGCAGAACTGAAGCAGAGAGGATTCTTGTGTTTTGTCTTTGTCTTCTTTGTTTTGGATAAACATCTTTTTTTTTTTTTTTGTTTTTTTTGAGTTCGGCTTTCTTTCAGACCAAACTCTTTCAGGAATTTCAATACAAAAGGGAAAAATGGCTTTTGTTTTGTTTTTGTTACATTAATATTAGATCATTATCCCTTTACAGCCATATCCTGTACAGTTTTGTTATCTGCGTGGCGGTGGTTTCGAACTAAAATGGTCCTGTGGTCCACTTCAGTGGACATGCTGTAAAATTAAAAATAAAAATAAAAATGTAAAAACTCTGAATTGTAGAATTAGTGTTTTACCAAATGGATGTAGAAAATCACAGAAAAAAATAAATAAATTTTCTTTGGGTCTCAGGAGGATATTTAGCTTGTTTTGACACATTATTAAAATTTCTTGGCTAAGAACTATTAACTTATTTTTGGTGTTGCTAGAAAATAATTAGGCAAATCCTTAGTGGTGAGCCCTGAAAAGTCAAGTGAAATAAAAACTAATTGCAATACGACACTATAAAACCACAATCCATTTGCTCATAGAACAAGGTCATACATAACACACAAAAAGTGAAATGAATAAGGAGTCATAACATCTAATAGTATTTTAGCAAGACAAAGTTAAATTTATGAATGTATGAAATATATTTTACCAACAACAAAATTGGTTAGAGGAAAAAGTGATGGCCATTAATGTTGGAAAACTACTAGCCACAGTGGCTGGTAATCAAAAAAGTTAATGTCAAGCCCTGATTATATCAGTTAAAAGCAACCTCTTTTGCAGCTCAGCTCAGTTTTTTAATACCACTTACCGTGATACAAGCTTCAACATTTAATCCCAAAAAAGTTTAGATATAAAACTGATACCATCATAAGCCTAATATATAGTGTATTTATGTACCGGTACAGAGTCCTCCAAATCTCTCTTGTTGAGTAGAGCATGATTGATTCGCAGGACGATCCAATCAAACAGGGCACTGTACAAAGACTTGGCCATAGAGTCTCTGGCAGTAATAGCCTAAAGACAGAGTTATTTATAGATTTGTACTTAACACATGACTGAATTAATGAATGATCAGTACATAGCAGAAAATGTCATCACATGCATCACTATTATATTATCGGTTATATTATAATTTACCTCATTGAGGCTGTAAGGCAGAATCAGCTTGTCATTAGCAGTCATTGCTTTCCTTGTAGTCAGTGCTTCAACAAGCAGCTCAACTTTAACCTGGAATTGAAAAGCAATGATGTAAGACATATTTTATGGTAATAAAGACGACATTTAAACATTTGAAAACACGAGTCTGTCAATGTGTAATGCTTTATATAACAGCTCAATTTTTACATTACATTTAATCACTTTAACAGATCAAAGCAACAAACAAACAGCAATATTCAACTGATGTGATAGTTTCTTGTTAGTCTCATGCAATATCCAAATCTCATAGTAAACTTTAATTTTTGTATTTCCCTCCAGGAATGTCAGACTTTGTGCTGTCTACAGAAAACGTGGACACAGAGTAAAAATGCACTGCCTTCCATAAAAAAAAAACTTAAAAAAAAAACAGTTATTTGTTTACTAGTATAACTACAAAAATATTATGCTTCATTTCTTTAATAAGTAGCTGTTTTATATGCTGCTAGGACACCCCAGAAGATTTGTAAATAGCTCTGTCATTGTTCAAAGGAAAAAAAAGATCACGTTAGATGACCTTTTTTTTCATTCAATTTGTGCAAAAACTGTAGGAGGAAATGACTTTCTCTTTGCTGTTTTGAAAATGTAATGAACCATGTCATCACACCACTGTGTCGTATCCAACCGTGAATTATATAAACGTTACACCCCTTTTGGAAAATCTGAAAGCCAACCAACCCGAAAAAATACAAATGGAAATCGATGCTAAAAGTGGAATAGAAATCGAAATTACAAATGAAATATTTGGTTCTCGTGTTTTTTTTTCACCAATTGCTAAACATGACGACCAGAGGAAAAGGCTTCATCAATTAAAATTTCAAGATACCTTTACTGGGACACAAATTTAATCTCTGAACCTTGAATAGTAGAAATAGAACAGAGATTTTGATGAATTTGTTTTGACTTGGAAAACAGACGTATAACACACACACACACACATATATATATATATATATATATATATATATATATATATATATATATATATATATATATATATATACACACATATATACATACATATACATATATACATACATATACATATATATATATATATATATATATATATATATATATATATATATACATACATACAGTATATAAATATATATATACTCACTATAGAATTAAAATGATTGATTTCATTTAATTTGACATTTTTGCATTTATGAGGAAAAAGTGTCTTTATGGATGTGAAATTTTCCATTATGGATATGACAGCATTTAAATTGCCACTTGTGTGATTTTGGCAAATTAAATATAATAGTTTAAAAATACTGACAGATACATTTACGAGTATTTTTAAAGTACTGTAAAATACTTGCTAACACAAAAAAAATGGAGAAATGGTTTCTCTATTTTGGTGAAAACTTAATTATTTTTTATGGCAAGGTTGACATTTGTCTGGAATTGCCCATATATATATATATATATATATATATATATATATATATATATATATATATATATATATATATATATATATATAAAAAGAAGCGACCAAAATAAACCTTAAACTACAACGAATGGACTAAAAACAAAGCCATCTAGATGCACACATTGATTTCGATTGGAAAGATAATTTCTAAATAATTCTTATACGGTTGTACAGCATCCATTGAATACATGTCACCACATATTTAAGTTTAAGAGTTTAAATATATGATAAAGACAATAATACATTGTGGCAGTGACCTGATTCATTAATATGTCACTCTACCATATTTCCAAACTATTGGGTGAGGTGATTTTATAGTTTACGTTATTTAAAGCTAGTATTGTGGTGTCCCATGTTTAATGGAAAAAGTGGAACCAAAGAGACAAATTTGGCTTACTATTGTGAATTTATATTAAACATTAAAGTAGCTTGTGGTACCTTTAGAAGGTCAGACAGAGCTGAAAGGACATGATCAGGTCCAACTTTAAGCCCTTCGCCAACATCTTTTGGCTTGTACGTCACATTTCCCAGGTACAGAATGGCAGAGAGCACAGAGAATATCCTGAAAAAGAACAGAAAAACACATTACAAACACTTTTTCTTTGCAAAGTGCCTCATAAAATTCATGTATAAAAAGCATATTACTACAACAATGCAAATCATGCATTTTGAACAATGGAATAAGTCAATATTTTGACTAATTACAATTCTAAGTAATAAGCTGTTTGTTACCAGTATTATATAACAGTTACATTTAATTCCAAAATTTTTTTGGAAGGCAGCTCATAATCATCACACTGCATTTCATGACCAAAATAGCACAGAGCATTTCTTGATGCATTTCCCCCCTAAATGACAAGCACAGACTTGTCCCAGACCAGAATTCTTTATTTGTTAGTCATGCATACAGCTGGTAATTTTTCAGTGACTTCACCCCTTCAATAAAATCCTGATTACACATAATAATATTATTTGCACTAATTCAATTCTGCATTTCTAGATATCTTCAATTTATGGGCAATTGTTAAAGTTCTTTCATTGTAAAGGTAAAGAATGTAGGATGGTTAAATAAACACTAAAGATTACATGTGATCCAAAATTGAGGCTTGAGTTAAAATCAATGCAATCTTAAAATAAAGGTTCTCTATATATGCACTGATGGATGCACAAAGAACCTTTAAACATTATAACAGAAATCATTTAATTTTAATCATTTAATTTTAATCATTAATTTAATCATTTAAACCACTAACAAAAAGAAATCAGTTATTTAAACTTTTAATAAATATTAAACAATTGATTTTTTTTTTACATTTATTAAATGCCACCTTGATGAATAGAATAATTTAAAAGAGAAAAAAAAACATGAAAAAATAAATTATCCCAACTTTTGACCGGTAGTGTATTTTCTACAAGAACTGTCCTTTCAAAGGTTCTTTTGGGAATATGGTATTAATGGAGAAAAAAAAACCTTCAGGAAATTTTATTTTAAGGTTGTTTGTTTGTAATTAAACGTTAAAGACATAGTTTTACATAATATGTAAAGACTTCTAAAAAGTAATGGTTTAGGATGCAGACTAAAGAGAAAAATCTAAATCAAAAAATAAACTTACTGCTTTTTGGTTGGAGGCAGAAAACCGACCATCTCCATGGCCTGATGAAGTCTCCGGAATTCATGTGTCATTTCAGCTTGATCCTCTGAAATTGGCATTTCCTGTGAGGTTAAGTTGAAAAACAGATAATTAATGGAAAAGCTTAGCTGTGATATTTTAACAATAACAAAAAAAGCAAATAATCCAATAAGACATACAGTAAGAACATTAGAAGACTATTAGATTCTTTCTTCTCTTGAAAAGAAGATTTTTTGAAGAAAGTCCAACAATTGACTTAAACAAAATAGACATGTCAATGGTTACTAGTTTCTCACAATCTTTAAAATACTTGCATTTATCTTTAACAGAAACAGGAAAGTCTAACAAGTTTGAAACAAGTGGACGATAAGTAAATGATGACAAAAAAATTTGTTCAGCAAAGACAAGAAAAACTAAGATAATCCTTACCTCTTTGAGGTAGTGGTAGTCATTAGGCTGCAGAAGCTTAAACTCATCTCTCTCCTCCTCTGAGGCGCCAATCAAAAGGTAATAAAAAACATGATAATTCCTGTAGGTCAGATAACAAGCAGACAAGGAATTTGCGTTGAGTAATACATTTAATTCCACTTGTGACACTAAGGAGTTCAAACGTAAAAGGGATATGGATAAAATTGATATATATAAAATGGTTTCCAATTTATTACCTTTCAGTTTTTCCTCTGGACACTAGGCGGCATTTCTCTAGTAAATACTTCTCAACAACAGCCCTGAAACATTGAACAAAAGCTGTATTAGGAATTTCAGATCAATGCCAGCAATAGCTAGACTTTCCGATAATTATTTTAGAGAATGGGACCAGAAAATATAAGAGGTCTGTCTTAATCTGTCTCTGCTGCCTAGCAACTTCAGTCTAACAAAAACATCACTTCCTGATTGAGAAAACATAACGGTACTTCAGACATGTCTTTAAAAACATATTCAATCAGCATAGTGAAAAAAGCTTGCTCTCCAACTTGCTGGACAAAGTAAGGTGCGCACCTTCGTGGGTGGTTTAGTAACTCATACATATTTATAGGTTGTCTTATCAAAAAGATGGTATTTTTGGGGTAATGACTGCATAAAATATAATGATAGACATTGAAAGCTCAATTCTAATATCTCAAAAGAAACTTTGAATGTAAATTTACCAATATGATACCTTATATGATATAAATGTTCAGAACGACCGCTATGGCCATACTAGTAGTCATAATTCTGGTAGTTCCAGTATCAAGATTAAATGCACTGGTGTCAAATCTCTTATGTGAGTGAGGAGCAGCTGTGGGAGTTTGGTGTGTGACGTGTCTCGGGGCAGAAGGACAGATGACTCACCCTCTCACAACGCCACTCTCCAGATAATTCACTTGAATGAACTTTCCAAAGCGACTTGAGTTGTTGTTGTATGCTGTTTTAGCATTGCCAAATGCCTGAAGAAAGCAAAGAATGAATCAGATAAGCTGTTTTTGAGATCACAAACTATAAAAAACACACTGATATGGTTTGTGAATGCTGACGGACAACTCTCGTGTTAGATAAAAGATGGCCTTAACCTAATAAACACACTTTAACTATACTTTAAAACTAGTGAACACAAAATTAGACATGATTACAGCATTATTGTCAGTAGATTATTAGCATTATTATTAGTGGTTCATACTACGGCAACCAGTTCATCAAAACCAAATGACAAAAATACAGTATGAAAATAAAAATGCGTGGGCCTTTTATCTCACCCACAGACATCACAAACAAATAAACTCAGAGACTGCTCAGGCAGTCTTGTCTTCAGTTTGACTTGTTGATGTTAATGCTGATATACGGCGAGTAGATTTATCCATTTTAAAATACTTCCTGCTATTCCAGTAACAAGTAAAAACAAATCTCACTTAATCATTTATTCATTTATGTCAATTCAAAGACAAATGACACTCACTGGAAACTTTTGCCTTTACAAGAAAGAGGCTGCAACCACGATCTGTCATGGTCCAAAAATATTTTATTAAAGAATTAGATTTGATTGAATGCTACTTTGTAGTATTGAGAAGCTTTTTGATAGACATATGAGCAGTCAAATGTCCTTAAACACATCTTTGCAAGTATAACAGGTTTTAAGATTTTTTTTATTGCATTATAACACAATTACAATTAGGCAAAATTTGATAAACAACTTTCACCCACATTTATAGAATAGAGCACAAATAATAACCAAATCAATAAAATAATAATACAAATAAATACACTTAAAGCATAGAATAGGCACACAAACGTATCTAAAAGAATGAAGAAAAAAAAATTACACTACCGGGTCTTCTATTAATTACATTTTTTTCTATAAACTAAATAGTCTTCCTCCACATTTTGATTTTAGCAACTTTAAAGATTTACAGTATAACCGAAATTCCTTTCGGAAAACTAAAAACAGTGGTTTTGTTTTAAGGGTACTGCATTTATTAATGTAAAATTTCCCCAAATTTAGAAAATTGTTCAATACAAATTGAATATTAAAATCTTTCCCTGATAAACCAAAGAAAATATAATTTATAGAATATTGGGAGGACAACTTGAGAGAAATCTTTAACCACTCAAATGAATCAGAACAAAAGGTTCTGCTACATAAGCATTGAATAAATAAATGTGCAGTCGTTTGAATGTCAACCTCACAGAATGTACAATTGCTATGATCAAAATTAAATCTATGTCTAAGAAACTCTGAAGATGAGTAAATATCATTGAATATTTTAAAATGTACTTCTTTAGCTTTGGGAGGTATGGAGATGGAAAGAAACACTGTCCTTAATTCGATAATAGAGCTCTTGGGAAAAAAAAAGACACAGTATTTCTACTAGCTTGTATTGGAAATTTATCTTGAGTTAATATAGATCTTATTATTTTATTAGGCATTTCACTCTAAATAAAATCTTGTCCATTTATTAACAAATAGGGCAGATGAAGTGTGTCATTTATATTGGTAACCACATTACTAAACATCATCAGAAATGAAATTTCACAAAAATTTCTATGACTGGGAACCTCACTCTTTTTGTCTAATAGATGTACAACCAACCAAATACCTCTCTCCCGCCAATTTCTATTAAAAAAAAAAAAAGATTTGTTTTTTAAATTAAAAATTATCACTAAGCAAAATTTTTTGAGCCAATTAATCTTAAACATGCCATTCATACAATTAAAATATATGATCAGCAGACCCCCATCTTTATAATCCATTATTATTCATTTTGTAACATAATGAACTTTTCTCTTCCACATAATGTTAAAGTTCAACTGATTAATTAATTAATTTTTGTTTTTTAAGAAATGGGAAGGGAACCTGCAGGGTAAATACATCTTGAAAGAAATGCCCCTTTTGTTAATAATACTTTTTTGAGAAATCATACAGAAAATTTAGCTATAAACAGCTATGGATGAAATAAAAAATTACAAATGTATTTTTCAAAACTAAAACTACTGTGGAAGGACTTTGAGATATGTAACATGTAACAGCATGCTTACAAGCTGCTCCCTATTGATCTTCAATATGTGCACGCTTTTAACATGATCCTTACCACGACCATCATACAGGACTTTATCCTGTAGTAAACTTCTTTTCAAACAAACAGATTCCGTAAAGGAAATATCAGAGAGAAATACTGAGGAAAGGACGTCATGAAACACTTGAATAGATAGAAAACTCTGTTACACTTGTCAGAAGTAGAGTTTTTATCAGATGGCCTGACAGAGCCTGTCTTGGCATGTTGGCTTACGCAGACTCGCTCTGGTATTCTGATAAAAGCCAACGCCCAGGAGTTCTACACATGAAACAGAAAGGGTTTTAAGGTAAAGGTTTGACAACAAGGTCTAATTCAGACAGAAGACACCTTAAAAAGCTAGGTGTGCTTTTCCCACAGGTCTCTCTTTCTTAACCTTCCGCACTGAAGAAGAAAACGAGCAAAGGTCACAACCACACACGTCAGATGACATAAGAAAACAATGACAACTCTCAGGACTATAAATGGTCAGATCTAGAAAATCATTTATAAGGTGGCATGAGAAGCATTAGTACAAAGTAATCACCTCTTTTGATACCAATAAAAAAATTAAAAAGTATGTTGAATGTAAAATGTTTTGCAACTTGCTTATAAAGCTTGATACAGTATATATATTTTTATAAAGCTTATAAATAAATACATAGAAGTAAAATTCACTGAATAATAAAACATTGATGTATATTTATGGCCTATCAAAACAGTATAAATGTAGAGAATTAATAGTTGTTTCTGAGGTATTGAGCCACAGATCAGTAGCACAATCCAAACACGTCATACAAAAGCGCCATCAGCCTGTAACGCTTCAAAATCGCATATGTACTGAAAGTGAAAAAGTGAACGTTGTGACATGTGGCCAAGTATAGTGACCATACTCAGAATTGGTTCTATACATTTAACCCATTCAAGTGCATACACACACAGGAGTAAACACACACACACCCAGAGCAGAAGGCATTGTGGTTAGGTTGTCCAAGGACAGCAAATGGATCATGTGTGAAAAGGGTGAATCAAATGAAACGATGCTAATGTCAAAGTTCAGCAAAAGTAAAAATGTAGTGCAAGTGCAACCAATTTTACTCTCAAGATGCCATGACCCAGTTTTCCGTGGCCTATTTTTGTTTCCTAAAAACATCTGTTCAGTTTTCACCAACAACTAGATTTTCTCAGTTTTTTCTAAATAAAAAAAAAAAAAACAGGTTTGCACAAGAATCCTGCAGATGGCATATCAAAATAAACACTACAGTGTTCAAAAGAGGCGCTGCATTATTCTAGTACATATGGCATTTAGTTTCCTTCTTCAGTTTATGGAATTTTGCCTGTCAACATAAATTTTACAGTATGTCTTTTAACTTCAAAAACAAGACACACATCTCTCCACAATATAAAACATGATTCAGGATTAATTTTAAAGTATAAATTTGCCTCCAAAGTTTAAGACATAACATTGAATGTTTGTACAGTATTAATGGTCAATATGAGCAGTAAAAACAGTACTGCTTTCATTTTAAAGCGGGATCTATTTTGCCTCTTTTTATAAGATGTAAAATAAGTGTATGATGTCCCTAGAGTGTGTTTGTGTAGTATCAGCTCAAAATATCGCACAAATAATGTTTTAGGACTCTTTGAAATTGCTCTCTCTAGGTTTAGATCCTAATTGTGTCATTATAGTGACTGTTGCTTTAAATTCAAATGAGAAAAAACAAGAGTAATGTCCTGTGCTACTGTGGGAGAGATTGCCACTGATGGGCAGGGATTTCCCCCTTTGATGACACATACAAAAGCACAGTGTCAATCAAAGTGTGTCTGCAGACTGTTTTTATTTAGTGTGGCTATGAAAAACTAAATTAATCATTCTTTACTATTAGAAGCTGGTTATATTCGCAGACTATTGGCACTCAACTGTGTTTATGCTTTTATGTCTACAAGGATTTTCTCTACTTTAAGACATAACTTATTTTATAAAAAGGTGCAAATAAAACATTGCTAACCTGTCTACTTTATAGCAGTCAGAGTTATGGAATCTGTATTTTTTCCTTTTATTTTTAAGGACGAATTACATTGTTTATACAGATAATAATAATAATTAAAACAATAATAATAGAAAAAAGCTGCTAAATTTTATAAAATAAAAGAAGAAAAATAAAAATAAATAAATATATAAATAAATAAATACATAAATAAATAGAGTGACAACAGTAATGGGTGATACGATCAGGGACAATGCTGTGCTATCTTACAATGGTAGGTTAACATAGAAGAAGCTTAAGGTTCTGGAGAAAGAAAACACAAACAGATTACAGAAAAAAAGATTCCAGTTACATACAAGAGAGTCACATTATTCCCCAGGAAGTACATTTATAGCAGAGAAATATGATAATAAGGGATGCCAAACATATGAGAATTTGCTAGAACCTCTAATTGAATATTTAATTTTTTCCAACTGTAAATATAACATCAGATCTTGAAGCCAGTGTGATGCTTTAAGTGGATTAAAAGATTTCTATGGCAATAAAATGTGTCTGTGAGCCAGTAAAGATGCATAGAATCTGTATTATTGATGCCTGAATTGGCTGGTAACGGATGTCAAAGATGACTACATACAGTAAAGTTAAACTATACAGTTCCATTATCTCTACACAAGATAAGCTGTCTGGAACCAAAACATAAAACACAATCATTATTGAGTCTCTGCATAATATATAAACAACATTACCATGTTAAAATAAAACTACCAGACAAACAATGCACATATTGTTAGAGGAGACCTCATGAACACAATACACAAATGTCTGAAATGAGACAGAGATCTTTTCCTTTTGAAAAAAACAAACAAAAAAAAAAAAACAAAAAACAAAGCCCAGTAATATGAAGCAAATGTTCAA